CTTATTCTAACCTAGCCTCCACCCACAACTAATGAATATATAGAGGAGGTGAAATCTACGGTTTAGGATTTTTAGGAAACCCCTCAATGGGCTTGGGCTTAGCATTGAAGGAGGAAGCCCAACAAATCTCCCCCTCCGACTTCAATGCGTCAGCTTCAGCATCAACCCGGCTCCTTCACAACAGTCTTCAAATTTTCTTATTGGAACCGGCTTCGTCATCATGTCGGACCAATTTTGGTCAGTGTGCACTTTGACGAGTTCGAGCTCTCCACCTTCCACCATATCCCGGATCTAGTGATACCTCACTTCAACGTGCTTAATGCGGGAGTGATAGGTCGAATTCTTCGCAAGATGAATTGTGCTTTGATTGTCACATCCCAGATCTTACTTGTCTTAATCATGGACGAATTCCATGAGGAACTTCTTCATCCACATATCTCTTTGCTTGCCTCAGTCGCAACAATGTACTCAGCCACGGTTGTCGATAGTGCAACACACTTCTGAAGTCTTGATTTCCAAGAGATAGCTCCTCCGGCAAATCTCATCATGTATCTCGTCGTTGACTTCCTCGAGTCGGAATCTCCCTGTAAATCAGCATCCGAGTAGACTTGCAACTCGGCTTTGCCTTCTCCAAATCGGAGGCATAAGTTGGTCGTACCTCGGAGGTACTTGAAAATCTACTTCACTACTTCCCAGTGCTCTTTGTCGAGATTTGACAGATACCGACTCACCATTCCAACAGCATATGCCAAGTCGGGTCTAGTGTAAACCATTGCATACATCAAGCTTCTGACAACGGATTGGTACGGGATCTTCAGCATCTCGTCTTTGTCTTCATAAGATCTCGGACATTGCTCCTGGTTCAGCTTTATGTGTCTGGCTAGAGGAGTGCCCATTGTTTTGGCTTTGTCCATGCTGAATCTCTTTAGAATCTTCTCAATATGCTTCTCTTGACTCAGCCACAGTAGCTTATTTTGTCTATCTCAGATAATTTTAATTCGTAGAATCTGCTTTGCAGGGCCGAGGTCCTTCATTGCGAAGGATGAGCTCAATGCCTTCTTCAGGGCGGCTATCCTCGATTTGTCTTTCCCTACAATAAGCATGTCGTCAACATATAACAACAAAATCAAAAAAATCTCCGGCCTCATACCTCTTCACAAATACGCAGTGGTCTGCCTCTATCTTCTCAAACTTATGATCAATCATGAATGATTCAAACTTCTTATACCACTGCCGAGGTGTTTGCTTCAAGCCATAAAGGCTCTTCTTCAACCGACAAACCAAGTCTTCTTGTCCTGGAGCTTGGAACCCCTCAGGTTGCTCTATATATATCTCTTCTTCTAAATCACCGTGAAGAAATACCGTCTTCACGTCCATTTGTTCTACCTCGAGATCCTTCAAAGCTGACATAGCTAACACGGTTCAGACCGAGGTCATTTTCACCACAGGAGAAAAAATCTCCTCAAAGTCTACTCCCTTCTTCTGATTGCAACCTTTCACTATAATCCGGGCTTTGTATCTCGGCTTCTGCCCGTTCTCTTCATTCTTAATCTTGTGGACCCATTTATTTTTCAGAGCTCGTCTTCCTTCAGGCAACTCGGTTAGCCATAAGTCTGATTTTCGTGCAGAGACTTCAACTCATCTTGCGTTGTCTTTTTTCATTCTTCTTTCTCTGAGCTCGTCACAGCCTCATCATAACTCTGAGGCTCACCGTCTTCAGCAATAACGGTGTATTCTTCAGGTGGATATCTCGGCTGTTCTTCACCTTGAGAACTCGGTTCATCATTCTCATCCCGAATCTCATCATCAACTCGGACCTCAGTATCTTGGTCATTATCAACTTGTTTCTGGTCATTAATTTCTTCATTCTCTTGATTTTCTCCCCCTGCTTCAGATCGAACAAGAGGGATGGATTCTTCACGTCTGACAATAACCCGCACTTTGGGCTTCGAGATTTCAAGAATGGTCTCATCTTCACGAAAGATCACATCTCGGCTTCTCACTATCTTCTTATTGATTGTATCCCAAAGTCGGAACCCAAACTCACATCTCGGCGAACAAGATAAATGCATTCTTTAGTCTTTGCATCAAGTTTCACCCTTTCATCTTTAGGGATATGCATGAAAGCTCGACATCCAAACACCTTCAGTTGATTATAGGCAGCTTTCCGACCTGTCCAGCCTTCTTCTGGAATTTCTCCTTCAAGTGGCCGTGATGGTGAGAGGCTGATCAAGTCAATAGCAATTCTGACGGCTTCTCCCCAGAATGATTTCGGCAATCCGACATTGGATAACATACTTCGAACCTTTTCTTCAATAGTCTGGTTCATCCTCTCAGCAAGTCCATTCAACTGTGGAGTCTTGGGGAGCGTCTTCTCAAGTCGGATCCCGGCCGCTCTGCAGTATACATCAAAAGGGCGACAGTACTCACCACCATTGTCAAATCGGACCACTTTCAATTTTTTGCCAGTTTCCTTTTCAACCATAGCATGAAACACTTTAAAGGATTGGAGTACCTGGTCTTTAGATTTCAACAAATAAACCCACACTTTGCGGGAATGGTCATCAATGAATGAAACAAAGTACTGAGCTCCTCTAAGGGATCTCTCTGACATGGAGCAAACATCAGTATAGACGAGGTCAAGAATATACATGCGTCTTCTGGATTGATCCAGTTTCACGAAAGAAAATCGGTCTGCTTTCCAGCTAGGCAGTGCGTGTAACTTTCCAATGTGTGACCTTTTAACCCGGTCAATAATCTTTTCTTGTTCAGGATTTGAAGCCCTTTCACACTCATATGGCCGAGGCGCTTGTGCCATAGCTCCAAGCTATGTCCATCTCAAACAGAATTGGCTTCTACACCATTTATTTTTCCTTGCAATACATACAAGGAGCCTTCTTTCTTACCTCGGGCAACAACCAAGTTTCCCTTGGCCAGCTTCCATCTAACACTACTGAACTAGTTCACTAACCTGGCATCGTCAAGCTTGCCTACCGAGATTAGGTTCAATCGCATGTCAGGAACATGCCTTACATCTTTCAACACAAGTCGGCACCCAACATCTGTGGTCAAGGTCATATCACCGACACCAACAATCTTGCTGGTCACTTGATTTTCCATCTTCACAACTCCAAAATCACCACCTCGGTAAGAAGAGAAAAAACCTTTGTGTGGAGTAACGTGAAAGGAGGCACCAGAGTCAACAATCCAGGTGCAGTCATCATATGCAATATTCAAATAATTATCCTCACCAAGTAGGAATATCTCAGCATCCGAGTTGGCAGCCACAGTAGTGGTGCTCTTGTCTTCCCTCTTCTTGGGAATAATCTGATTCGACTTCACAGAGCCATTCTTCTCATCATTTTGCAGAGTCCTGCAGTCTGGCTTCTTATGCCATGGCTTCCCACAATAGAAGCATTTCAACTCATATTTTGGCTTTGACCAGCCTTTGGACTTTTGTCTTCTGTCACGATCTCGACCTCGACTTTTGCTTCTACCGTGGAAGTTGGATTTCCCTCTGTTCTTAGCAACTTGGCCTCAGACGTGCTCGAAACACCTCATTCTCTTCTCTTGGCTTCTTCATTCAAGAGACTATATGTTACGACATCCATCTTCAATTTTCCTTCTGGAGCCGAATTACTCAAAGTCACCACCAGAGTATCCCAGCTTTCTGGTAGCGAGCTCAACAGCAGCAAAACCTGCATCTCGTCATCAATTTTTATCTCGGCTTTAGACAGCTGATTAACAATACCTTTGTAGGTGTTGAGGTGTTCAACCATGTCTAAGATTATCAATGGAAGAATAATGAACATGTATATATTGTTGGGAACTCGGTTCCCTCAACTCGGCTCAGAGCCCTTTTCGCGGAAGTCAATCAACAAGATCCTAGATCTCGGATCTCGGCAATCTGAACTCAGCCTGAATCACCAAGTCGTCCAGCGCAACAGAAAAACAAAAAATACAAAGGGGAGAGAGAGAAAAAAAAACACAAGTAGATTTTAACGTGGGAAAACATTCTCCAATGAAGAAGTAAAAACCCACGAGACCTAGTTCAGTTCAAACGTCCACTATGATAATAATGGGTGCAAAGAATCAAGATTCACCAAAGTGGTGGTTAACACAACTTCTCCAACAATGGTGATAATCAAACTTTCTTAGAGATGTTTCACTCAAACTCTCTCTAGAGGTCTTTCAAATACAAAGCTTAAAGCTTTTTCTCACAAATCTCTCTATAATCTTCTCTTATTCTAACCTAACTTTCACCCACAACTAATGAATCTACAGAGAAAGTGAAATCTAGGGTTTAGAGTTTTTAAAAAATCCCTCAATAGGCTTGGGCTTAGCATTGAAAAAGGAAGCTCATCATATATAAGGTACCACCTTTTATCTGGGATATAAGTTGTTACCAAAATGAGCTCGTGGCATGAGTTTTGCATCCAATGTGGAGAGAAGAAGAACTAGAACTTACTAGTATATAAATAGTGTTTCGAAGCATATTTAATTGAAGAGCTAAAACGAAAAATACATGCTTAGTGCCTATACTTTTTCCATGTAAATTTCTTGAAGAGTTACTTAAAGTGCTAACTTTATAATTTCATTTTTTTTTTTCTTCGTTGTTTGGATGCGAGCTTTAAAAGAGCCGACAACACAATGAGAAATGTAGTAAGTGTTGTGGACCCGTTCCATTGCCGCACAACTTGTAGAAGATAAGAAAGGCTAAACCAAAGTCGAATATTACGTTAAGGGTTTGAATCCTATCCAAAATTTCCACACAATTTCCTTACTAACCCTTTCAATTTCAAGCCTTCTCTTTGTGCACAGAGATTTGTCATCACTTCCACAAACTCTGCTAACATCCTACGTTAGCACTATTCTCATGTCTTGACAATTACGAGGTTACCTTTCACAGCCCTTTCTTTATATGAGACCAAATGCATGACTACAAAGCATCCTTTTTCATCAAACTATTTCTACCAGAAACTGCAAATACTGAATGAAAATATATATTAATATATCAAAGCACACAGAAGAACACTACAAGATTAATAAAAGGGATACACAAGAGACACCTTAATTTGGGGTGGGGATTTGATAGCCCATAAGATTCTCTCTTTTGCTTTGTAGACATCTACTATCCTTATATATAATTGAACAAAAAAAGAATCTCAAACTACTGCTAAATATATTGTAATTTTGAAGCACGTGGTGAGTGAGATGTGGCATAAGCACCAAAATTTCCTAGCTTTGTCTCTGCAGGAAACCTTGTGACCTGAGAGGTATTGGTCCTGTTACGACGCTGTGGATTCTCGTATGTTATGAAGGCATCACCAGCAACTCCAACAGCTTTGTGGCTCTTGCAACCCAACAATATGCTAGGACCCCTCCTCTGCATCTCTTTTCTAGCTTTTGTTTTTCCATTTGATGAAGTAAATGATGTCCTTATTGGACTCCTTATGGTTACCTCGGACATTTGTTCTTCACAATCTGACAATACTGCAGCACTTGCAGTGACCACACTCCATTCTATGCTTGCCTCACTTGGTGCATAACAATTTGGGGAGCTGACACAGCCTGAAGCAGCATCTGATGTTTGTTTAACAAGGATGGAGTTGGATTTGCCTTTGAGGCTCTCAATCTCAAATAAGTCTGAACTTGCATCACTAGCAGCATCATTGTAGTTTGAATCAATTTCTTCCATTTTAAAAGCAGCATCCCTAGAGGGAATTGTCAACCTTTTATCTAAGCTCAAGGACTTGCTCTTGTTCTTCAATATTGGGGAGCCAAACACCTCCAGTGATTGCCTTGCCTTCTCTTCTTCCTCTTGTTGATGTTGCATTTTGACAAGATGATTTCCTATGCCAGAATTCACTGTTGAATGTGCCAAACTGTTTTTTTCACTGTTAAGTCTCACCCTCAACTTCTCTTCATTTTGGAAGTAAACATCTTCATTGATCAAGAGTCCTGCATTAGGCTTGTTTATTTTAACTGTATGATTAGCATCTAAACCAGCATTGAAGAGAGTTTTTGGTGTTGTTTTGCCATGAACTGCACCATAAGTAGCAGCTTTGTGAAAACTGATTTCACCTTCATGGTCGTTAACATCAACAGAATTCTTATCAGAACAAGAGCATCTGAAAAAACTCTTTGCCCGTACCTTATCTTTTCTGTTCTTTGAAGCATTCCTCAATTCCCTCTGTAATAGTGCACTTTGGCTGTTGCAAGTTGATTCCGAGCGAACACTTGGAGTTCCATACTGAACTTTGCACTTTCTAGTTTCCACAGCTATTAGTTCATCTCTCTGATGCAGGTACTTTGTAGCAGCTATGTTTGCAGCTCTTGGGGTCTCAACCTCTACTCCATTGAAGTATTTGTCAGCCCCAAATACTCCAATTTCTCCACTGTCTTCCATCTTTTCTCCCTGATGAAGAGGAGACTTTCTGTTGCTTATAAAGGGACTAAGTTTTTGGCTTGATTCATCAAGCTTTCCTACAATGGTCCATTCCTTGCTATTCAAGTATGGAGAGAAAATGGCATCACCGAGGTGGTGGTGGTTGTTGTTGTTCTCAGAGTTGAAAGATTGCAACCGATGGAGGCTTCTATTGGCACTAGATGATATGGTAACCATAGTCAAAGGAAATTAAGTTTTGAGTACACAGACAAAAGGAGAAAATGGCCCAACAGAACAGGTTAATAGAAGAACAGGCAAAAGGAACCAAATCAGAGAAAGAAAATGAGGAAGATGAAGACAAAAGACTCTACAATACTTGGAAGTAAAGAATTAATATTTTGAGAAGTTCAAGTACAAATGGGCTCTAAGAAAATGGAAAAACTCTCTTGGTGTTTAAGGAGCAAACTTGAAAGGAAAACTTATGTTATGTGATGGTAAGGCTAAAGCCTAGACACAGGGAAAGAAAATGGATGCAAGAGAGAATTCAAAATGAAGGGCTGAATTGCTGCTTGGCGTATTTAGGAGTAGCTCTATAAGTAGGCTAGTGGAATGTGCATGATATCAAGAAGGTAGGGCCATGTGCTTGTAGCATAATTAACAATTCACCTATAGTTTTCACAATGAAATTTCTTTGAATTTCACACTGATAACCTATTTTATTATTATTAGTCTGCTTAATGACATGAATTGGCTTAGATTTCAGTAATATGGACAGAAAGTTGAGCTGCTAAAATTAACATATCTATATTTCTTATATTGGAATCTCCTATGATTTGTTTCCTTTCATGAGAAAGGGAGACAACTACTACAGAGAAATGGGTTCAATATCCACTTTGATTCCACAATATTTTAGTGTAATATGCCTTAAATAGACCAAATAAAATAAAAGGTGCTGGTGAGTTTTGAGCAAAGTTCAAACAATGTAGATAAGGGACATAAAAGAACCAGTTGATACTTTGTAGTTGAACGCAGTTAATGCAATTGTACTGCTGAGTTGTAGTGATAGACAAGACTCTCCTAAAATCAACTTGATTTTAGAATATATAAATTAAGGTGTATTTACATTTAAATCTTAATAATTTAAAATTTAAATATTTTTTAGGTTAAATAAAGCATAAATACAAACTTAATTTAAAAGATTATTTCCTTTGGAGACACTGGTTACTTGGTTATAATTAGAATATGGACGAAGTTACATGCTACAAGCCTTACACGAACTCTATATCTTCAATGCCGAAAACCACAAAATCCACTTCTTGACATGAATATCCATGAAGAACCTACTAGGTTCTTGTGTATTTGTGTATTTGAACCCCAACAAGAATTGACTCTTCTGACAGAAGAAGAATTTTCTTAATAATTTTCTTCAAATTAATTTAATTTAATTTAGATTGGATTGAATTTTTATTTTTATTTTTATTTTTTTCATTTTTGTAATATAGAAATTCATTGAAATTTATAAATATAATTTTATCAAAATACATCAAATATAAGTTTGAACTAATGCTTTAAAATACACTAAATATAACTTCAAACAAATTTATCAAATTTCATTAAAATACAAATGTGAGTTCTAAATATAACTTAAAATTAATTACGATCCTATAATATATATCTTAATCTACGATTGAGATTAAGTTAGGGTATGATAAGAAAATATTTAAATAAGTACGAGAGTTTCTTAAAATATTATTTTTAAAATATATAAAAATTTATTTAATCAAAATTAAATAATTTTTTAATTTTGGATTAAAAAATAGATCAAATTCAAATAATTTTCTTCTTTTTAATGTTTTATTTTTTATTTTATTTGTTAACTTTTAGATTAGTTTGGTTTCGAAAACATGAGAGCATACATGTTTAATACGAGTGGCATTAATTAGTCCCTATATCGACACTTCAAAAAATTGACGTGTCATGTGTAATATTTACCGACACCTCAACACACCTTACAGCAATGTTTTAAAACCCGACTCGGACCGGTCGGGTCGACCCGAGACTCGGTGACCCGGTGAGTTTCCTGGTCCGAGCAGGTAGTTGGACCGCTTCTGCAGTCAACCCGGATTGGACCGGTTGACCCGGCCGAAACCCGGCGACCCGGGTTAGACCGATTATTCCTTCTTCTTCTTTTGGTAAATTTTGTTTTTTTTTATAAGAACTCTGGAATTAAATCATATTCATATTTTATGATGAATATGATTAAAAGTAAGGTGAAAATATTAAGGTATTTTAGATTAGTGCAGTTCGTTTATGTAATTTAGTTGGATCTTATAATGATCTCATGAAGTTAAGTGGTGATAAACAGTGATGGTCTCATGATCTCATCTCAACGGCGGGCACTTTTTTCTTAGTGTATATTTCATGCATACTATTTGTTATCATGATAACGGTGACACTTTTTTCTTAATGTATATTTCATGCATACTTTTTGTTATCATGATTTAATTTATCTGTATCATGTCAAGCACAAAAGGTGTATTTAACTTATATTGCAATTTTAATCCAATATTAGGATATGGTCTAGAGCTAGAAGCTTAGAAGTATATAATGTTTGCTATCATTGAAAATCAATTTTTTTTTTTTTTGCTCATTGATAGTTTTCTTATGTGAATTTTTATTAATATAAGTAATATTTTTATATTTTTAATATGTGAACAGTAAATCCGGTTGAACCAGTGACCCAGTACCTCGACCGATTCGATGACCGGTCCGAGTTTTAAAACACTTCCTTACAGAGACTCATAAAGGGATTCGAAGATTGCGTTGCATTTTTAATTCCAACTATTAGATTTGTTAGATTACAATTACTATTTTATTGAGTTTAATATAAATATTTGAGATATCTAATGTTTCTTTATAAAATTGATGAGTATTATTAATTTAGCTTATTTTTTTGTTAAATTATTAAATATTAAATATAATATACATCACACAAATTAAAATATTATTTAATATCAAAACGTGTTTTAACGTGTCAAAATCTAATATTTTTTAGAATTAACATATCAGAGTATCGTATCATATCATATATCCTGTATCGATTGAAGATAGATTAGCCTGCAACTCAAACATATATAGTCCAAATCCAGATTCCAGAATGCTTGTTTTATACCACATTTTTGTGGCAAAATTTAAATTTAAGGATAAGATAAGAAAGGCCCTCCAAACCGGGTTATGAATTTGGAGAGAAATAATTTTTTTAATTTCTGTGTTAAGAGATAAAAACCTAAAATAAAAATATTGATTTTTATTCCTGTTCCACCGATTCATTTTCTATAATAGAAAAATAAATCAATTTTATCAAATACAATTGTTAATCATTTATACTCTTTAAATTAAAATAGAAAAAAAAATATAAACACGATCATATACAGTGTACACCCTAAGAATCTTAGGAGCCTTTGCTGTTACCTAAAAATAACCAAACAATTGAAATAAAGTACGTTGTTAGTAGGCCCAAATATAAGAAGTCCATAGAAATGTTGATGGGCTTATAATGTAAAGTACATGTCCGATGGTATATTGGATAGATAGATAGCAAATAGGGTTGGCAAAACGGGGCCAACCCGGCCCGGGCCAGCCCAAACCGTATTTAATCCAAAAAAAATGAGTCGGGTTATGGTTGACTCGAAAAAAAAATGAGCCAGAAAACCCAACCCGACCCGTGTCGGGTTAGGGTTGGCTCGCGAGTTGGCTCAAAAATATGGCTCGTGGGTTGGTTTGAAAAAATAGCTCGCGAGTTGACTCAAAAATTGGTTCGTGGGTTAGCTCGAAAATTGCTCGTGAGTTGGCTCGTTTTCAGCCTTTAAATGACCCTGTAGTATTAATGCACCAGCTATGTGGCTTCCATCAGCTTAAACAAAGGGTTACAAAAGGAGAAATAAAAGCAAAATATTTTAGTTTCGAATCTTCTTCACAACAAATTTGCATCAACATCAAGAAATAATCAGAACCACTTGCTACCAAGTGGGTAAGATATTTGAACCAAACAGAGTCCGCACAGCCTAACAATATAAAAATGGCAGGGATTAAGAAGATTAAGGACTTAGGTTTAGAGAAGGAAGAAAAATGATGACAGCATGTGTGGATTTTGTCCAATTTTGTATATTATATTTCGTATTCTTTTATAAATAAATAATATTAAAAAAAACTCAACCCACGAGCTTGCTCGTTTGACTCGCGAATTGGTTCATTTTTTCACGAGCTGGCTCGGGTTGGCAGCTCATTTTTGCCAACCCAACCAAACTCATTTTTGGCGGGTTGTTGGCTCATTTTTAGCGACCCTAATAGCAAACGGGTATACCAAGACATGCAAGATTGTTTGTTGAGAGATGTTTGCTCCGTGATAAAGATGAATGTTGCAAGGGTTTTATTATCAGCTATTGCTCATTTTGATTAGAAGTTACAATAAACGTAAAAAATATTTTCGTAACTTAGAAGAATATATATACATAGAAATCCTATACGAATTTAATTTCAATTATTGAAGGGACAAAGTATGAAAATCCAAGAAGCCCTTATATGATTTAAAACATTTAGGGCCTGTTTAGAGCACCTGATAAAGAAGATAGGATAGGATAACTTATCATATCATACTTTTATCTCTTGTTTGATGGGTCAATAGGATATGGTTAGCTTATCCTATTGTCTCATTTTATCCTATCTAATACATGATTTCTTATCCTATGCGGGGAGCTGTGTTATGATTCAATAGGATAGGATATCAATATTGGATATCCAATATATTCTCACGCTACCCAATATATCCCACGCTACCCAATATATTTGTATTTATTGCATTATATTTTATTTTTTCTCTCTCCTTTCTCCTTCTACATAATCTTATCAGATTGCTAATCAGGTGCTCATCAAACACATGACATGATATAGGCTTATCAGCCCCATATCATATCCTACCCTTATCAGCCCCATATCATGTCCTACCATTATCATATCATGTCCACCAAACGAGCCCTTAGTGTTGGAATTGTTTTTGGAGATTCACAAAGAATATCATAAACTATTCTTTAACAAACGATCCTTCTTATGTATGTAAAACAATTAGTAGTTGCATAAGCCTAGCCAAGGGGTTTGCATGGTTAGGTTAGGTTCAATTTTCAACACCGATCGAGTCGAACATGAAAAGTGCTTCAATTTGGGAAAATTAAAATGGTTTTGAAAATTGGTTTCGTTCTTGAACCGATTCGAAGAAAATGGTTTGATTTTAAACCAATTCGAAAAGATATGGTGCGATTTGGTTTAATTCATTTGATTTTTTCATATTCCTATAAATGAGTATGGTTAAGTTTGATTCCGTTTTTAGCTCGTATCGAACCAAATTTGTAACGTGATTTGATTCTCGAAAATTAGTTTTAAAAAGTGGTTCGGTTCTTGAACCGATTCAAAGAATATGATTTACTTTTTAAACTAGTTAGACAAATGTGATTTTTTTTAGTGTAGTTCTAATCGATTCATAATTCAATTCGATTCATTTGATTTTTTTTACTCCCCCAACCTATCGAACATTATAGCTTCATAATCATTTTTATTATCACAATAAACATTGAAGTCGGGTTATCGTAATCTTTAACACCATTTTTTTAGGAAAATATATTTCTCATGTTTATCTCATGTAATATATTTCTTAGTGGATCTCACTCACTTTCTATTGTATTCCATGAGATTATTTGTCTCATATAACATGAGAAACAAACTTTCTATTAGGGACCAGATCCATATCCTAACAACCTACCCAACAGAAGATTCAGAGGCTTATCTTAATAGCCAAGCTATAAGGATTTGTTTCGGAGTTGGTTCTAGGAGAGGAAGGAAAGGAAATTGAGAGTTTTAGAAAGTTATTCCCTTGTTTGTGAGTTTAAAAAAATGAGATGAAGGAATTGGATATTTTTACTAAGCTCTCAAAAACCCTCCTACTTCATAAATGTGAATCATTTTTAAATGTGACATTATTAGAAAAGTCTCAAACACCAACAGAATTTATCGACGAAAAATATTTTGTCAAAAATAGTGATGAAATTTTTGATGAAAATCATATACGTCAAAAAAATTCGTCAAAACTAAAGACAAAATTAGAGACGGAACCAGATTTTTCCATAATCAGTGACATAATTTTTTTACAGAAAAAAATTCAGTCAAAATTATTGATAGACTTTAAATTCTGTCAAAACTTTCAACGAAAATATTTTCGTCCAAAATTTTGACGAAACAAATTTCCATCGAAAAGTTTCGACGTAAAACGATTACGTCAAATTTTTTTACGGAAAACATTTTCCTCAAAAATTTTCGCAAAAATTTTCGACGAAAAATATTTCTTTCAAAACTTGGGACTAAAAATATTTCTGTAAAAAAATTTGACGAAATTTTTTTTTTTGTCAAAATTCTTTATGGATTATAAATTTTGTCAAAACTTTTCCCTCAAAATATTTCACAAAAAAACATATTCATCAAAATTTTCAACGAAACACATTTCCATCGAAAAAAATTTACGGAAAAAAATTTCATCAAAATTCTTTACATAATTTAAATTTTGTCGAAAGTTTTCGACAAAAATATTTTCGTTAAATTTTTTGACTAAAAAAAATTTTATCGAAAATTTTCGACGGAAAATATTTCCGTGAAGCTTTTTGATAAAAAAAATTTCCATCAAATTTTCAATAGAACACATTCCTGTCAAAATTTTTTGAGAGAAAATATTTCCGTAAAAAATTGTGACGAAAAATATTTCAAAAAATTTTTTTGAAGGAAAAATTATTCTGTCAAAATTCTTTACAGAATCTAAATTTCGTCGAAAGTTTCAAATGAAACATTTCCCTCAAAATTTTTGACAAAACTATTTTTGTCGAAATTTTTGTCAGAACACATTTCCATCAAAATTTTGAACGGAAAACATTCTGTCAAAATTTTTGACGGAATTCTTTTTTCGTTTAAAACATTTGATGGAGGAAATCATTTTTGTCAAAACTTTTGACGAAAATTAAATTTCGTCGAAAATTTTGATAGAAAATTTATTTTTGTGAAAATTTTTATTGGAGAAAAAATTTCGTCGCTTTTCGACGAAAAGTATTATGACGAAAATATAATTTTGTCAAGAAATTTTCATCGGTTGTAATGTAGAAATTTCTTCGATAATATGATCTTTTTAGTATTGTAAAAAATACATAAATAGTTTTGTTTGAAATTTTAAATTTAATTTAATTTGTAAGATTAATAATTATATTTATTTTAAAAATAAGGTAAAATGGTAAAAATATCTCATTAACCCTCTATTTTTTTTCCTTACCATTTTTTTAACTCTCAATCAAGGAAAGAGAATACCCTCCAATTTTTTTTATTTCCTTCCCCTCCCTCTCCCTTGGATCCCCTTCCTTCCCTCCTCCTCTAAACTCCCAAACAAAGCCTAGAGAATCAATGAATAAGAGTCATATTACAATAGTGATATTAATTAGCTAACAACCTGGAGGTATTCAAGGCCCAGACCCAAGAGGGAAAACATTATAATTAGAAGCTTACACACTTTTTAACCCACTTTATTTTCAGCATCACTGAGCACGTACAATCACGCCTTCACTACATGCCCATTGTTGGTGTGCAGTGATCAGTACATTGACTATATGCCCATACGACCAATGTTATTAAACCCGACTCGATCGGGGTATTAGGTCACTGGTCTGACCGGTGAGTCACAGGTCAGACAGGTTGACTGTGATATATATAAATATGAACATATAAATTTAATTAGATTCTCCATATCTAAAATGAATTAAACAAGGTTCACTAAATAAGCTCAAAAATTACCTAATCATATTTTTACACGTTCATGAAGCACAAATAAATGAAAATGCACGCTATTACTATGTCAATTTAAATTGCAACTCAAAATCTCCATAAGCATACCTCTCACTGATAGTGAGTTCATATTTTTTAAATCCATCTATATTGAAATGACATACGTCACATTCTCTTAATTTATTGTTCCGCAAATTGCTTTAGTATTGGAAGCTAAAATTTGAGGTCATTGTAGAAAAGTATACTAATAAGTAAAATTACAAAAAGTTTTTAAAATGAGGTCTACATTTTTTTTTTGACAAGACGAAACAATTTTGATTTTTTGATTTTTTTTTTATAAAAAATGCATGACCTGATCGGGTCATTAGTTTTGATCGAGTTTGTCCTGGTTCGACTGGGTCCGATGCATGATCGATCTAATACTTAACTTGAACCCATTAGGTTCCGAGTCGGGCCGGGTTTCACAACAGTGCATACGATATCTTTCTTATAAATATCTTTGAATACATACATCTACCATCTATGTGGTAAATATTCACGGTCTATCTGGACCGAAAACTTTCCTTTTTTCTATCTTGTAAAGTTGTAACCTTAGTTTTCTTATTTATTGTAACCTTAGTTTTCTTATTTATCTTCAATGCGTAAATCGATGTATTCAAGAGATGATTAGTAAAATTATTATATAATCAAATAATATAAAAAAACCACTTCAATAATTATTAATTACAAAGTCTATATTTATGTATAGATGGATTATAAATATATATATAATATTGAAGTCAATATATAGATATTGATATAAAATTTTGCATCATTTTATGATATTTTTCTGAAGGACTTCAACTCTAACTTCCTCCAAGTCTATCAACTAGCCTTATCCCGTGCTACCTCCTGGACGTGTCGTGCAAATTCAAAAATTCTTCTTTGGGAATCAACTTGCAATTTCAATTTCCAAAGTCTCCACTTTACATAATGGTTTCAAATTCAATGGTAGTTGCTTCTTCTCTGTATTCACAATCACCTTGTGCACTCTTCGATTCCCAGAAGCTTACTTTGTCCAAAACCTTCTCAAAACAAAGCCGGGCATTTCTTCTCAGCAGCCATAGAAACTTGTCTCTCCCTTACCGTTTGAGTTTGAGTTCTAAAAGGGGTCTTTCTTCTGTTTGTTTCTTCAACGCTAGAGACAAATCTGACACCAAGTTTCACGAAAAGGTACTTGCTTTTACACCCAGTTTCTTCTTCTTCTTCTTCTTTTTATTTATTTGTTTATACTTTTTTTTTTACTTTCCCTGAATTTCAATTCATAATTGTTAGATATATTAATAGTATAGTACTAGTATGCTCATATTCAAGCCCAATTATTTGGGTTCATACGGGGTTGAAGCTTAATAACTTGCATTATCTTTAGTGTTTCCTAAATTGGAGATAATACTAGTGAGCATTTCAAATTAGTGAGCATTCTAAACTTGATATCTTTTGGTGTAATACTTCAAGCACTTCAAATTCTCTCTCAAACTCATTACCTCCAACAATAATTGTCATGGGAATTGTTTGATGCCCTTGAATTTGCATGAGAGTGTTGATTAGATGTTTATAACTTTCTATGCAACATGTGATACGCTAAAAATAAGAAGAAGAAAAAAAAAAAAACAATTTTCAATGTGGGTATCTGGGTTGTGTTTATAGTTAATCCAATAATCATAATTACTATGATAATATGATTCCTTTTGTATGAGTAAATTTGAGTCTACTTCAGTGACACCTATGAGTTAAGAGGTCTTTATGTTGTTTATTTTCGTTTCCAAGATATACGGGAAATAGATTATATAAATTACTTGAATTATTCTCTTTTTTCAGGAATCTGGGTTGCAATGGCCTATTCTCAGGCGATGGGAGGTGCCTTGGGAATGGCAAACAGTTTCATTAACCTCTCTCGCTTGTGGATTGGGGTGTGTTTTGAATAGCTGTTATGATTTCATATCTTGTTTCATATCAAACATGAAATAATGCAAATCAACTTAAGAAAATGTCATGTAGAAACTTATTACCTGTACCATCAATTTATTTAGTTCTTTTACAGGGCTTTTGTATGTTATAATTTTATAAGTTCTTGGTTATGTTGAACCATTAATTTATTCCCAGGCAGTTTTGTGTTGACAGGTTTGGTTGAGGCAACAGCTCTACCATATCTAGGGATTCGACCTGATGTGCTAAGTTTAGATGAGAAGGCAGAGATACTTTTTGTAGACCAGGGGTATGCAATTCCTTTGGACTCTTACCATTGTAATTCTGGAAGTTGGTTGGCAAACTGTAAAACAACTTCCACTTTTTGGTTCTGGTTTGTCCTGGTCTGGTCATTGACTTGTTAAGAATTTGTGATGGTGACATTTTACATTTGCCCAGATCACATGATGCTCGTGGCATTGAGTGATATGCATAAGTTTTTAGGCTGTCATCTACTACCTTATTCTCTGATTATTTTCTTGCTCAAAACTCATCTTTTTGAAATATCTGAATGCTTACTTTATAATATTTTCTTTTAACTTCAGCCATTCTCTTATTAACTAGTTACTCTATGTTGGGAAGTGTGGAGTCAACAAGATCTATTTAGAAACAATAAAAGTATAAAACAACTTTCCACTGTCTGTACCTTATGATTAGTACAATTTTCTTTCTGGTATTAAAGACAAAGTGCATACATTTCTGAGATATATTCTTATTTTCTCTTATTATTATTTTGGCAGCATAACAACTGCTGTTGTACTCGGAATCATATATGGTGTTGCCAACACTTTCCAACCACTCCCTGAAGACTTCTTCAAATATGGTATTATCATTTAAGAACTTTTCAAGTATATCTAGGATACAGGCAAAAGGTTTTATTGTTTATATTAATGACTGGCAGTCTGGCATCATACCTTAAAACTTTTATTAAAATATTAATAATTTAATTGAGTTCACTGGCACTAATACGAATCAGTTTGTGCCTTGATGAACATATATCTTCTCTGTGTAACTGTTGTTGCAACTAGTTGGTTTAAATCTGATTTTAGTCAGATGTTTAATTTCCAATTGGCTTATATCTATGCACTGATGCTTTCCCCATTCAATGGTAAAAACATTGTTTCAGATTTGAGAGAACCTTTCAATCTTCAAAAGGGTTGGCTTTTGTGGGCAGGAGCTGGACTTGTTGGTGCCCTGCTTGCCGTTGCATTGACAGGAGCTGCTTTGTCCTTCTTTAGTGGAGAAACCCCAGAGAGAGAGGTTAATAATTTATTTTTTAAATTTCTCTGACAGATGCAGATGGAATTCTCAGTTTCTATTTGTTGAACTACTTTTGTTGTAATTTGGGAGGAAGCAATTTAGGGTCGGCTGTCTCTCAAATAGCTTAAGTTTTGAATCCACTGATCTTAAATTTTGTATTATAGTACCAACTTGCCATCATGGTATGCATCCTCCTTGCTAACTAGAGGCAAAGCAGATTAGCTTTATCAAATGATGAATTTGAATCAACTATCTAATGTACCTGTTAAGAACCTTGAGGTCACCACTCCAAAAGCTAGCTCAAGGGGTGGGAGTGCCCAAGGCCTTATAAAGGCCATATTAGTTACCCATCCAATCAATGTGGGACTAATATATCTCAACACGCCTCCTCACGCAAGAGCCCTTTAGGCTAGAAGCGTGGAAATTGCACAGGCCCATTTTTGGTTTACCCTTTTGTGCTTTTTTTTATTTTAATTCCACTTTTTAAAGCGGGGGACGGTGAGGCTCTGATACCATGTTAAGAACCTTGAGGTCACCACCCCAAAAGCTAGCTCAAGGGGTGGGAGTGCCCAAGGCCTTATAAAGGCCATATTAGTTACCCATCCAATCAATGTGGGACTATATATCTCAACAGTACCTTTGTAGAACTAATCTGTCTGAATAAACTAGCTTCTAATCTACCTGAAGTGTGAATCAGATTATCTTTTTATGGGTTTTTTAACCTTGTGGATATCTCTTACTAGCTTTTATAAACTGCTTTTCAGACTGATGCTCTTGTTCGCTTGCTTCCATTAATTGGATCTTCAAATGTCAGGTACTTTAAGATATCCCTGTCCCTCCCTTATTTTAATTTGCAGTTGCGGTTGCAATAATGCTTCAATTACAGACATTTTAAACAATTGCTGTAAAATGTGGCATATGCCTGTAGTGACCTCTAAAAGCGCAATATTGTGGCCAAAATTGCAGTTACAGACTGCAATTTAAAATCATAATCCTTCTATCAGTGGGAAATTTTTTTGTCAAAAGTTTCCATCTTGGTTCTGTATCCCAGATTCTCAAGTGATTGATTATTTTTATTTTCATTATAGCACTGCTTGCTTGGTGGGCATCACAGGTGTTCTCGCCCCACTTCTTGAGGAGACAGTATTTCGAGGATTTTTTATGACTTCCCTGACAAAGTGGTATAGCTGCTTTCATGTCTTTTCCTTTCCGTTTGTTTCCCTGTGATTTCTGAATCAAGCATTTTTTCCTTCGCAACTTTTTTTACCCCATATAATAAAATATGTTGGTTAAAGAAACTGCAGCTTGCCTTATAAGTGAGACTTTTTTTTTTTTTGAATTGGATATTAAATGGCTAGATAATTGAAGAGTGGCAGTTTCAACAAGTGCAGCTTCTGCTATGCTGACTAGCTTATCTTTTAACGAAGGAGAAGTTGATTTAGATTGCATAATGAAGTAGCATTGTGCTAGCTAATATTTTATTTTTTCTTCCTGTTTTGTTTCTGACCATTGGTGTCTTTTAACTCGAAATTTAGTTAATCAACTTGGTCAGCTTTATATATGAGATTTTACTAAGATTTTATATAACATACATGGTGCGGAGGGTTGCTCTTGGATAATTTCTAAGGGTCCAACTTGTAGTCCATAAAAGTCCAACTGATGCACTACTTGGTTATACATAAACGTGAGCTTATCAAAATACTATTTATATGAAAGCAATAAAGCATACAGGAGTTTCTAAGATGAGACTGCTATACTATTTTTATGAAAGCATACAGGAGTTTCTTAGAAAACGATATATACACCCAATACAATAAAATCCTGAATAAAACCATATAGTTAATTATTTTCATTTATGCTTGAAATAAGCTTTACATTCTTCATTGGGACCTTCAATTGCGGAAAATTCTTTGCTTTGTGTGTATTGAACCAAAGACCATATATCAGGATTTGAACTTCTCTTATGCCTTTTCATAAAAAATAATCTACATCGGTAAATATTTGTGTGCAAAATTTGTATATTTACAGTTCAGTTGTTCAAGTATGTTATGTGAACTAAGGATTGTTACTGATGCAAATTCTCTCATGCATGATTAATCTCACTGCAGGGTTCCTACACCAGTTGCTGTCATCATTAGTGCTGCTATCTTTGCCCTTGCCCATCTCACTCCTGGAGAATTTCCACAGTTGTTTGTTCTAGGTATTGTGTAAATACAAGATAAAATGATCTTCAGAATGGCAATAAACAATAAAGAAGTTTCTTTTATTACCTTGAACAAGGGGGAAAATGAAAAACCCATTTTCTCTTGAAAGCTGCAATTGTTTCTCCATCTACTGTGAAGAAACTTAACAGAAATTTATGAAATCTCTAGGGACTGCTTTGGGGATTTCATATGCTCAAACTCACAACCTTCTCACTCCCATCACTATCCATGCTTTTTGGAATTCAGGAGTTATTTTACTTCTTACTTTTCTCCAGGTATATTTGTGTGTAACTCTATTGATGTGTTCTTTACAATCGACTTTTTATTCAGTGCTAAGAACGTTTCTTCTCCTGTTTGTATAGCTTCAAGGGTACGATATCAAAGAATTGTTGCAGACAACTTGATGGGAAAATTTTCTCTCCTTAGCATAGATGTGGAGCATGTACAGTACAGAATACAAATCCATTTCTTTGTATAACATGCTCCCTTTCCCTATTGTAAAATATAAGTCAGATTGTTGTTTGAAACTGTGAAGAAATAGAAAATGATTATTTGATCATAGCAGTTGAAATATGCAATGAACTTCAACATTTTCAGCAGGCCTGAATTTTGATAGTGTCTGACATTACCACTCTTTCTTGCTTCCACGTGCTCCCATTAGAGGATATTTAATGGAGTAATGGGTATATTAATTGACTGGGCTTGTGCTTAAAGCTAGCTGCTTCATGTTTATTACTAACATTAAACAAATTAAGTTGGAAACTTACTGAACTTCAATGTGCCTGATGAATTCTTAACTGTTTTAACGCTAGAATCAAACCGTACACATTAGGTATTAAAGAAATAAGCATTAATTTCTGTATTGGTCCAAAAAAAGTAAAAGTAATTGACGTTTTTAAATTTGAGTCCTATCAGATTTTTGTCAAATTAACTATATATATATATATATATATATATATATATATATATATATATATATATGGTAAAATCGGTACGCAAATTTAATTTACAAATGTATATATCCCACGAATCACTCAAAACTAGAAGATCCTGAACATATTGATGTCAGTGCTTGGAGATGTTGAGTAAGCTGAAAGAATGGTAAAATAGGTAAATTTATAGATTTGGAAGAGAAAATTCAAAACAAAGTGTAGTTTTAAATCTTTTATATGTTCCAGTAGAGTTGCCGAGGTTAAAGCAACTTTGCAACAATAATTTGATAGTTATGGTTGTTGTACTAGCTAAGATTAATTTATTTATAGTAACTCATTAGTTTTAAAATAATTATTGTTTAATGTTTTATAGAAATATTACGATATTCATTAAATACTCTTAATTTTTGAGAAATATAATTATATTCTACTAAATTATTCTTTTATTTCATTAATATTTTTCTTTTATTTCACTTAATATTAAGAGATAAAGATAAACTTTAAAATAAATGTCTTCTTATAATTCTAAAATAAATAACAATTTAAAATGAATTAAAAATTCTATAGTAATAATAATAATTTCAAAAATACCTATTTTTTAGTGTTTAATGTTTCTGTTTTTACTGTAATTTTTTTTTACACACTCGCGTAAAAATGAGTAGATCCCATTGTAAAATAAAAAGAGAAAAAATATTAGTGGAACCAATTCACTTTTAATTGAGTGGTGGTAGAGAAATTTTTTCTGCGATAAAAACAAATATATTTTACATTTTTTTTTGGTAAACATATTTTTCATATTTTATTATTGTTATTATTTACCTTTCACGTTCTGTATCATTAACATTATTCTAGCATGCATAAGACTGCTTACTAGATCTTTTTCCCATTAATACATCAAAATTTACGTGGACAATCTCACGAGAAAATGATAATTAAAACACGAAGCAAACCAATTTATTGTTAAGGCACATTCATTTTCGCAACTTCTTTTAAATGAGGCCACAAGTCATGACCATGGGGAAAATCCCTGTTGGCATTAATTTGCTGCTGCAATTCATGAAATTTTACTAATTTGAGTTAGGGCGTATATTGAGAGGTTTGGTGTATTCCGCGAAGAAAGAGGTATAGATGCTTGGTTTGGAGGGATTGTCTTAGTTTTAAACTATGGTTACCCGTTTGGGAAGCAAACCCTAGGTCAAGGAACAGGTAAAGGTGGGTTAGGTTTTTGGGAGCTTCACTAAATTTGGAGTCCCAAGTTTGCCATTTGACTCAACGATCGATCTTCACATTAATTTGTGGTACGGTATTTGTTAGCTGAAAAATATATGAGAAAATTTATTCTGTGTTATTTTAAATGATTGTTTATTTTATTTTTTAAAATTATCTATCATTTTACAAATTTAAAAATGTTGTAGCTATTTTTTTAATTTTATCTTTTCTTATAACACTTCAATTAAGTAAATGAAATAGAGTATTCATGTAATTTAGTTAAATATAATTATATTTATTTTAAAATAAAATTATTTAATGAATTTTTTATTTTTATATAAAATCTTAAATAATAATTATTTTGATAAGAGAAAATATTAGTGTCACTGGGGCCTTGAAGGAAATTTAAACGGTTTTTAAATTCCGTTGATGAAACCTATTTGATCTCACTAAAACACCACAATATTTCTTTTGTATTTTCAAAGCCTACAAAAACAGAGAATTTGGCCTTTCACATGTTCTATTACCAAAACACCACAATAACGTCTTTCACTACAACCTAAACAGACGATACAAATGATATACTACTGTTCATAAGAATATAGAATATAGTGGATGACCATTTGAACTGTAAATATTCAAAACAATGCCATCAGCATTTTATATTTATATCCATGTGTTTTATCAATGAAATTCTTATATTGACATTAATCTAGCCAACTTCCTTAGAATAATGGTCACTACTCTGCCTTTGAATTTAATTTCATAAAAGTTAAATATATATCCAAATACATATTGAATGTACCCAAATATTAGGTTAATTTAGATATATATGAATGAGTTTATTCTGGCAATTGAAAGAGATTGGGGGCTGTAACTAGGGGCGTAAATGGGCTAGGCCAGCTTACAGGGGCCTACGGCCTAGTCTATATTAAGTCAGATTTGATCTAGTATAAGTAGTAAAATAGAATAGGCCTAGGCTTTTAAAAAAAAACTATTTAGAAAACAGGCCATAGGCTTCTTTGTACATGTCGGGCCTATAAGTTTATGGGCCGGCCTATATCATATTATTTATTTAAAATATAATAAATAAAATTTTTATTTAATAATTTTGCATAATAAAATAATATTATTTTAGTTATTCATTTAATTGTTGAATGTTTAATAGGCTTAAACAGGCTAACAGGTCTAGGCCAAGGCTTTTATTTTTTGAATATAGTTCAGACCAAACTTGTAATTTATAGCCTACACAGGCTAATAGGCCAGAGCATATCCAATAGTTTTTACACAGGCTTGGCCTATTTAAGCCAAAGCCCAACTCATTTACACCCCTATTTGTAAGGCATTCTAACGGTTAAGTCAGTTCAATATTCACTATAATTTAAGGAATTTTATTTTTCTCATGTTGCATGAGACAAATTGTCTCATGCAACTAGGGGTGTTCGCGGTCTGGATTGGATCGATTTTGGAAGCAAAAATCATCCGATCTAATCCTTCGGTTTGATCATATAATCATCTATTCGGTTTGAATTTTTTCCAAATCCGATCTGATCCAATCCAATTTTTTCGGTTTGGATTGGATCGGTTTTCGATTTTTTGAAAATCCTAAAATTTATTTCGTAATTATTGTACAAATAACATCTTTTGTATATATTGGCTTTGTAAACAAAAATTTGAAATAAAAAAGCATTAGTCAATTATAATATAGTTTTTTTTTTTTTTTTTTGCAATGAGATATGAAGCTCAACAAAGATAAAATTTTGTTGATGAGATGTGACTAGATTTTTCTTGGGTTTAGATGATGGGTTATAATGGGTCTTGGGTTTATAAATTTTTAGGTTATGATTAAGGAAAGATCCAAGTAGGTAGAGGGAAATTAATATATTGGATCGGTTTGGATTGGATCGGTTTTCATCAACCCAATTCAATTAAAATTTGCGGTTTTTTTTTCCAGTTTTTTGTTTTTCGGTTCGGTCACCGCGGTTTGAATCGGTTTGGATTGATTGATGAACACCCCTACATGCAACACACAAAAAGTGAGTGGGACCCATTAAAAAAAAAACAAAAAACAAAAAGTGGGTATCACCCACTTTTTTGTGTGTTGCATGCAACATAAGAAAATAAAACCCTAATTTAAGTATTCAAAGATAGATAATCTTATTTGAATAGCTCTAGTAGAGATTGCAGCGAGCTGGTGTTATCATTCAATTATTGGTTTCAAGTGATTTTGAGCTAATGATCTCGCTAGCTTCATTTGCCAATTCAACTCAAAAACTTAAAAGCTTAAGTTGTTGGATGAGGTTATATTAATGGTTTTATATATCTCAACATACCCGTTATATTAATGATTTTTATTTCTCAACACGCCCCCTCACACAAGAGCCCACTGGACTTGAAGGGTAGATAATGCACAGGTCTACCTACCTGTACGAAGAAAGAAATTCCACCAAAAGGAAAGTGGGAGGCGGTGAGGATCGAACCCGGTATACCGATATTCTGATATCATGTAAATAATCATTTCACTTCAAAACTTTAAGATGTTGGATGATGTTACATTAATTATTTTATATATCTTGACACAGTAAAATGCCCACGGTGCACGCGTTTACTTCAGAGTTAATAAGTCATGGTTTTTGGATCTTCCTTTGGACTTGGCCTTCATCTCGCAAATACAAGGTCTATATCATATTCTAATATTTCAAGATAAAAAATAATTATACTTTATTTTCCATATAGAAAAATTATAATTTCTTTCATTCAGTAAAATTTCTTCTGACTCTTACCAGCTTAATTTTTACCTTATCAATTAAGGGTTTTCTATATTAAATATTAATTGTCAATTCTTATTTTCTGAAATATATTTTATTTTAGTTGTTCGATATAATTTTCATAACTTTCTTACGTAGATAATTTTGACATTAGATACGTCGGTGGCAGTAAACGAATGGTTTTGTTTTTCTTTTTTTGCTATGATTAATAATATATTCGTGTGAGGGTAAAAGCGGTCCCCTCAACTATATTAGACTTTGATCACACGTCCGTTTGTTGTTATCTAAAATTTGACATTAATAATATATACTGTTTCAACCTGACAAAACCAGTGGAATAGAAGCTCTGGGGAATGGAATAGAAACGGGATTTTCGGATTCTGAGAAGTCTTCAACTTCAAACCATTAATATAATCCTAACTTGGTCTCACTAGAATTCGCTGTTCAATTATATATATTGGCTCTGTTTTGGAATCTGGTTCAGGTCCACGTTTCCAAATGATATTTCAAAGTTTCAAACACAACGCATAAAATATATCATTTTCATTGGAACTTTGCTTTGTCTTGGCTTGTAGCTGATAAAACTAAATCCTTCATGAGATTAATATATATATGTTGAAAGGGTAATTAAATATAAGATCATAATCCCCATAAGCTGCTACTTTGGAGGTTTATTGAGATTCCATCTTCTGGGTTATAATTAACAAATCACACACACACACACAAAAATGGTTCTATAAGGTGAAAGAAATAATGTATAGTACTTTGCTCTCATGAAAATCATAAAATCTCTTTTCTCTTCTTCACTTATTAATGACTTCGATTTCTTCCTTGGTAGTTGTACTGTTTTGAAGAGCCTTGCCTTTTGCTTCTTCTGTATATGAACCAAACCTCAAACCTACGTGATCCTCGAAAAACACATACTTCTTTTAAGAGTCACCAGAAAAGGTGGCTGAACCTTCGGAGGCAGATCCCTTCTCAGGAAGCATATATTGGCTTCACATTGAGTGAACTTCACTCTCAGCTTGCTCTTCTTTGTCTTCCAATCTCTTTGAAAAGCAGCTTCCACTCTCTGCTTGTTTCTGTGTGTTTATTATTATTTTTTTTTAACTTGTTTTGGTTAAAATCTTGAGGAGCCACAACAAGGGTCTTTATCTCTCTCTCTTTCTTTCTTTTATTGAAGAAAATTAAGGTTAGGTTTTGCTTCTAGAAAAGAAAAAAAAAAAAGGGTTAAGATATGGAGGAGAGAAATGATACTGAGAAACTTGATGAGGTTATGCTACCAGGGTTCAGGTTTCATCCAACTGACGAGGAGCTTGTTGGATTTTACCTAAAGAGAAAGATTCAGCAAAGGTCTCTGTCTATTGAGCTCATCAAGCAGCTTGATATCTATAAGTATGATCCTTGGGATCTTCCAAGTAAGACATTACCCAAACCTGCTAATTGGTTCATTTATAAACTATAGCCTAGCTAGCTGCTTCATATATTTAAGCACCTTTTTTTTTAAGGGGTCTATGACTGATGGTATCTAACAAATCATTTATATGCTTCTAATTAATGTGTGTAGAGTTGGCTACTACAGGGGAGAAAGAGTGGTATTTCTACTGTCCCAGAGACAGAAAGTATAGAAACAGTGCAAGGCCTAATAGGGTAACAAGTGCTGGTTTCTGGAAAGCTACAGGGACTGACAGGCCTATATATTCCTCAGAGGGTTCAAAGTGTATTGGCTTGAAGAAATCCTTAGTGTTCTACAAAGGTAGAGCTGCCAAAGGTGTCAAAACTGACTGGATGATGCATGAGTTCAGATTACCTTCTCTCACTGTCTCATCATCATCATCATCATCCCCTAAGAAGTACATAGACAAGACGACCATTCCTGCTAATGTGAGTAAAACATCTCAAAGCTCTATTTTCTCAGCAAAGTTATCATTTTTTAAGTGTCTGTAAGAAGGGAATGGATTTAAGTTTATATAAAAATATTTCAACTATCAAGATTAATCAATATGTGACATAAGTTCATATAAAAATATCTTAATTATCAAGATACAAATTAAGGGAGATAAAAGAATATAGAGCAAAGTTAATTTTGGATCCCTAACAAAAAAAATACGATCTCCACTTTAGTTCTTTACAAAAAAAAATTAGTCTGATGGTCCCTATGAAATTCAAAGCGGATCCATTAATTTTAGTTTTTTTAAGAAATTAATATGAGTCTTTTTTGAATTTGTGAGAGACCACGATTTCAACTAAAGTGGTTCACTTTGAATTTCTTAGGAAACTTGTGACTAATTTTTTTTTTTGTAAGGGACGAAGGTGGAATGTATTTTTTGTTAGGGACTCATAATGGACATTACTTGAGAATATACTAAGACCAAGGGTAAAAAAAATAAATTGATTTGTATTTGAATAGTTGAGATTCTCTGAGCTCATGCAGAGGATTCCCTCCTTATCATTTATGGGAAAAACATGTATAATGTTTCATAAAAAAAATTTATCTTCATCATTTTTAAAATAAAAAAAGAAAAAAAAAATGTATCACAAGTATCGATGGTCAGGTGGAGAAATTGTATTTTTCCATCAGCATGAGACTAACAATGGCCATCATTTATTTACTTTCTAATTGTTAACTTGTTTTTGAACTTGCAGGAATCTTGGGCAATCTGCAGGATATTCAAGAAAACCAATGCTACAGCTCAAAGAGCTCTCTCTCACACTTGGGTTTCTTCCTTACCTGAAACGATAACAACCTCTGATATGATAACCAATGATCGAGAAAGCAACCAATTTTATTCAGCAAACATGCCATTGACAAAGAAAACTAGCTTAGGTAGCCAGTTTTGTACTGTTAGACACAATGACGACACACAACACTTAACCACTACTAGTAGTACTCTTTGTCCATTAGATGTTGCCTCTTATATTAAACCCCTTATTAATCCATTGTTTTACAAACCCTTTGATCGGTTACCCATTTCAAATGGAGACCTTACCAATGGATTATTATTCTCATCTCCTCTTGAAACATCTACAACTAGTGCTAAATCTTCAATGGATGTTTCTTCCTTAGCGCTATTGAGTATGTCATCTTCTGTGCTTGGAGATTTTAGTGAGACCACTGAGGGAACAACCACAAACTTCGGCAGTGGGTTACAAGAGCACAATAATGGCTACACAATACCATTATTACGTGAGATGCAAGGGACCATTGGCAACCAGCAAGATGAAAATGTATTGGTAATGATTCCTAATGTGAATGTGCCTCGTGTTGATGAGCAACATTTGGAGACAGTACGATTTCCATTCGGTATGCCTTTCAATATTGGCGATGGATGGAAGTCAAGTGTGCTTTTGGATACTTCAACTTGTCCTTGTGATGCACCCTCTTGTTATTCCTCAACCAATTAAGTGTTATACTTAGTCAAGTTTATATAAATTAGAAGCCATTGTTTTTATAGCTTCTAATACGCAGGGACAAGCTAGAGTAAGGTCTGACTTTTTCTTTACTTGGATTTCTGTTCAATTTACATGCATGTAGAATCTTTTGTAAGGACTTTGAACATTTCGTAACAAATGTTTTTGGAAGAATGTTGTTGAAGTTTCAAAACAAAATGAAAAGAACACAAAGAAAATGACACGCGGATACTTTCATGAGAGAGATCTAATTATTTTTTCTTTTTTTCTTTTTCTTTTTTATTCCATGATCTAATCATGTCCTCCCCAGTATCTCACGCCCTAGGCAGGGAAAGAAGTGTGTACAAATATAAAATTAATTCCGAGTTGAGTTTGGTGTGACAATTATCCAACTCTGATTCCAAATGTGTAAGTGATTTTAAAGTATTTCGTGTCCTATGTAATGACTTGGTATACTCTAAGATGCATAATGAACAATTAAAATGATGTAATTATATGCATTATCATGTACGGTTAACAAAACTTCAAAATTTGGCCAGTCTTATAAAAAAATTTATGGCTTGCTTATACACTCGACGATTTTTTTACGGTAATCGACCATTTTTTTCCGTTAATCAACGAAGAAACAGAAATTTTGAGACTTTGGTCGAACTTTTATTTAGAGACAGAAACAGGATTTCAGTCTTGAACTTATTTAAAATGATATGCGTCTTCTCCAAATTCATGAACTATTGTTTTCAATTATATATAAAAGCATAATCAGACTTTAAATATTCTTCAAAAATCAGAATAATCAACATCTTTGTATTTCCTCATTCAACGACATATTCCACCTTAGCTCAGCATCGAGAACAGAAACCTCCCTAGCAGCTGTAATTACTCCCTATTCCCCTATATGCGTGTCTCTATTTTCCTTAACCCTAACAATTGAAAGCAACTAAGCAACGTATGTGGATTGAGCATACTGTTTACGGTATACAAAGATCTAGATATTGACTATTTTGATTTTTTTGGGAAATAATCTTACTTCGAAACTTACATTCGTTTAAAATGATATTCATCCCTAGAGCGATAGGAAAACAAAGAGCACGATACTAACTTTGAAAGACATGTTCAATGATTTTATTTTGAAATAATTAAGGTGGAAGTTGTATATTTACCTACGAAATGAATTCTCTAACGTGTTATTTAATACGATTAAATCATGTGTGACTTTCTTCTAAATAGGTTACATTATGCTAGAATAATTTCACTTTGATAAGCCTTATTAAACTAACAAATTACATTACGTGATCCGGAAGTACACTATGTACTTCCAGAAGTACATAGTATAATTTGTAAAAATTTATAAAAAAAAAATTGTAAAGGAATCTTTCCCTTATATATAGGAGAAGGTTATATTTATAAATTTTTTACGCTATGTACTCATGGAAGTACACTAGGTTATACTATGTACTCCCGGGAGTACATAGTATAATTTGCAAAAATTTAGTTGATTCTATTTTTATCTAACAGTTCTGATTTATTAGATATTTGAGCTGTTAGACACAAGCAAATCAATTACCAATATTTGGTATAATCTGGTCTAGCCTGTTTAAACTATCATACATTTTATGCTGATCAAGAATTTTAAAAAATAAAATAAAATAAAATTATTTTATTGTTTAAAAATTATAAATAATTTTATATAAAATATATCATATGATATAAGTTGATTTAGAGGCCAAACCTTTTAAAAGTATGCTAAATTTTATTTTTAAATGACTTTTTATTAGGCCTAAATTTAGTCTATATTTTAAATATACCAAATCTACTTTTGTAACCATGTTCTATTTCACTGATATAATTGTGAAAGGTTAAATGAAGATGTGCTATTCAAAAATTACCTTTCCTTCGTCCTTTTCTATTTTCCGTAAATAGTACTAGCCTAGTCCCCTAAATGTGATGGAGTAATACATTGAATAAATTTTGCAGCGCTGAGTATAGCACTCCAATGGTGGAATAAATTTTTTTAGTATAGCACTCCTAAAATTCGAAACTTAACTCACTTAAGTACATTTATTTAATTTAGCTTTACAACAAAAGTCTTATATATTTCTAATTTTAATAAAAAAATTAAAAATTTACCCTGAGTACACGTGAAATGCTGCTCATTCGGGAAGAGATCAGTTACAAGTTGGGGAAAAATTTGTCTTTTATCCCCTTTCAAATTTTGTTAGAAATTTAACGTTTTAGGATCGCAACAAGTAGAGTTTACATGCTTACAAAATCTTATTCAACTAAAGATATGAATGACATTATGTTCTCTAAACCTATTTTTGGAGAGAAATATTTTCTTATTTATGTGTTTAGGGAGAAAAAAAAAAAAAAAAAGTGTTTGATAATACAATTTATTTCCATCCCTGGAGAGAGAAAAAGAGAGATTCATTTGTTCCATCAACATTCTTATCGTATATACAAGTGCACTACCTTAAAATCAAAGGATTAACTGGTTGGCCTTCAAGAACAAATTCATTCCTTCCCTTCCAAATTGCCCAACAAATATTGCCCACAAGAGCAGATACTTTATTGGCATTCTTCGGATATACCCTTTTAATCTCCTCGAGTTTCTGGCAAAGCCAAAGTTGAAAGCTTTGAACTGAATTGACATCAATACTCCACTGGAAATCACTTCCAAACCAAAGGGGTCTAGTCCATGGGCAAAACAGGAACACATGTTCAACAGTTTCAGGTTCTGTTCCACAAACGGGACAGAGTGGGCTATTCACAAGCTTCCCCTTGAAAAGATATTCATAAGTTGGCAAAGCATTTTGACAAATAATCCACATTAGCATTTTAACATTTGGAGCAGCTTCAATGCTGCTAATCGCCAACCATAAACTGTGTGACACAGCATGATAGCCACTTCTAACTTGATGCTGCTCTACATGTTGTGCCTCACAAATTTCCATGCCTTCTGATCCACATCTTCTTTTGGGTAATGGTTGAAAATTTTGGTCCAAATCAGGCTTGGAAAAATCGCTATATGCTCTCTTTGGAGACTTTGGATTCGTAAACCGGACATCCTCCATGCATGTTGTTTGCTTGTACACATGAGCCCCCATCCATTTTATGATTCCTTTTTTGACTTTACATGTGTGTGGAGAATCATTTTTACTTGGTCCCACATATGAAACTTCAACATGGTTCCACCCGTCCATAACATACACACTTTCCAATTCACCATTGTAGGATTTGAGCTGTATATCGGACAAAAATACATGGTATGTTACTAGTTTTGATTGCACAGTGAAATGGCAATGCAGCTTTTGAATGCCATTGATGAGCAAGTGGAACCTTGAACTGAGGAAACTACCCTGCTTGTCCAAAACTCCAACAACGACAGCTAGAGCCATCCTTGGGAATTTGTTACGAAACCAGAAAGAAAGGGATGATCCATTAGTACAATGATCGAACCATTCTGGTATCCATAATCCCGGAAGAGAAAAATCAGTGCTTCCACCCTCATGTAATCTCTGTTAGCCACAATAAATAATACAAAAGCATAATGAGCTTTAGCAGTTAGCAGCAGCATATAGATGATAATTGTGTTTGTGAGATTAATAAAAAGTAAGAAACCTTTACCTGACTCAATAACATGCTTTGAGATTCATGAGTTAATGATATGCAATTTATTGCCGAGAGATATTTTATCTTTGGAGGAACCACTCTGATTTCTTGAAGCTCCTTGCAATTATCCAAAACTAGATTCTTCAGAAAGAGACATTCACTGATGCATTCAGGAAGGATTTTGAAAGGACTGCAACTTAGGTCCAAGAATTCTACATTGGGGAAGCAGGTAGGTGTCAAGTTGCAGGAGTTTAATCTTTCTTGTTCTTCACCTTTGCCAAGGATCAAATTTGCATACCGTCCACATTTTACAGCTGTCAATCTCTCAAGTTTTGGTAACAACAGAATACTTCTTGGGATTTGATGAAGCATCTTGCACTTGTCCAGCACTAAAGATTTAAGCCCAATGAGTTTTCTGAATGAAAATGGCAATTCTTTTATAGCAGTTCCACACAAATCAATGTTTTTTATATGTATCATTTCTTCTAATATATTTGGCAAACTGTGGAGACTAGAGCATTTTCTGAGAGACAGATATTCAAGATTTGTTAACTTGAAGCTGTGGGGAAGAATCCTCAGATTGGTGCATCCAATAGCAGTCAACCATGTAAGTTTATCAAGAAACCCAATGGAATCATGAACTTCTATTAAATTCTTGCAGTTATCAAGGCACAACTTCATTAAATTTGGAGCTCCAGACATGTCAGGTACCTTTTTTATGAATTTGCAACCTCTTAAAACCATTTCACTCAAAGACTCGAACTTCTGCTAATCAAAAAAAAAAAAATTGGTAATGAGAATTCCCAAGTGCAGTTTGTAAATGTACAAGACATACAAAACATTTCGAGATAGATATCAATTGAACATACCATAAGTTCAAGTAGTTTGTCCAATCTATTGCAACTCATAGACAAGTCTAGCATGACAAGTCTCCTTGGATCAAACTCAAGTGGCAGAGATGATGAAGGATATCCCTGCCATTTTAGCACTCTCAAACTGTTTGGGAGATATTCAGGGCCTCTAGAAAAGTGAGCATTTTCAATGGTAAGTATTTTGAGGTTTTTCATCTTCTTCAGCTCACTTCCATTCCACCGAACTTCCTTATTCTTTGGCAAGTGAAGCATGACTACTTCGATTGCTTCGGTTCCCTTTTAAGCCAAAATAATAAGTTAACAACAATTCAACTTATATATTTAATCTGTTAGTAATGTCATGTACATATTTAGAGAAGTTTCCAAGCCATAAAGCAGATTATCCAAATGTTAATAATTTTTGTAAACACAAATTTGAAAAGGAAGCTAAGAATTATGTCCTGAAGAACATATTTGTCAAAAGAGTTTCATCTAAGTGCAGAAAGAAAAACATAGGTGTCATGTGCACATACCTTATCATTTTCTAAAACATCTAGAATATCCTCGGAACACCATAGTCTACTACGTTTGCCAGGTTCTGATGGTGATTCCTGCCGAACAATTTCTCTGCCCATGTCCTCTACCAAGTTATGCATTCTCACAAAACCATGTTGATCAATCTTTATGAGAGATTTATCAATCAGCACTCGAATAACATATACTGGGGAGAAGCCACGACCTTGTAGCAATACACTGATGACATCTTTCAAATTGCAACCTTTAAAGAAACAAGCTATATCAAGGAAAACTTCCTTCTCATTTCCTTTCAAACCATCATAGCTTACTTTTAGTGTTTTCTGAATATCTTCATCTGGAATTTTTTCATAGGTATCTAACGCAGCATTCCATTCTGACATTGTTTTACCAATTAAGTTAGAACCTATTATCTCTAAAGCCAACGGAAGACCATTGGAATAAAGTATTGCACGCTTTGAGATATCAATGTAACTTGGATCAACCTCGTTATTTTTGAAAGCATGCCAACTAAACAACTCGAGAGTTTCTTTGTGATTTAAACCTTTTGCCTCATATGTTCTTTCAACACCATGAACATGTAGCAAATGCTTATCCCTTGTTGTGATAATGATTTTGCTACCATAACCAAACCAAGAAACATCTCCAGCAAGTGCTTTTAATTGCTCCATATTATCAACATCATCAAGAATCAAAAGAACTTTCTTTCTCTGAAGCTTCCTTTTCATTACTTCCATTCCCCTATTAATACTCCCCAACTTGATACTCTTCTCCCCAACTATTTCAGAGAGTACTGTCTCCTGAAGTTGTACTAAACCATACTTCATAGAATTTTCTCTGATGTCAGCAAGAAAACAATGACCATCAAATTGATCAGCAATGAAATTATACACTGCACATGCAATTGTTGTTTTGCCTATCCCCCCAATTCCAAAAATCCCCACCATGCTAAATCCTTGATTGGATCCAACTTCTAAACATGAGTTTACCTCTTGCACTCTAGACTTCAATCCAATTGGATACTTAGCCACATGTAAAGGGTTACGATTTATCTTTTTGGACACCTCTTCAATGATCCTCCGAATAAATTCATATTCGTACCTACCCAAATACAATATCCATATCAAGTTAAATCAAATGCATCATCATATTCATGCCCAGTTTCATTCACAAATTCAAATCTCAATATATCTTTATAAATAATTGATTTTGTTCCTTGGTTTTTCTAAATTTATGTTGAAATTTATCAGCAAAAAACAACAAAATCAATTTATGTAAAAGTCAAAAGTGGAGTACCCGTGTTTGAATTTGAAATGCCAACCAGACAAATTAGCTGCTTCTTGTAAAGCTAATTTCCACTTGTGCACCTTGTCCTTGTCATTCCTGAATCTTTCTTCAAGCTTAGCCAATGCTTTTCCATAAGAACCCTTTTGATGCCGAACATAACATGGACTCACTCCATAAAAAATTGGCAAAACCCATCGACCCTTTTTCATGATGCAGTCAAGGATTTTGACAAGTTCTTCAAGACAATAAGCAGAGGAAGCATAGTTTTTGGAGAAAACAATAATTGCTATTCTAGATTGCTGAATTGCTTTGAAAAGAGCTGGTGCAATTTCTTCCCCTCTTGTAAGGTCCTCATCATCTATGAAGGTGTGGATTCCCCTGTCACAAAGAGATTTATAAAGGTTGCCAGTGAAGCCACTTCGAGTATCATCGCCTCTAAAACTGAGGAACACATCATAAGTCCATCTAGAGGTGGAAGAAGAAGAAGAAGAAGAAGAAGAAGAAGAGGAACATGATCCATGTGTCATCATAATCACTGTAACGAACCTTGAAAGGGGAGGTAGACACTGAAATGAGTTTCAAACACTATGTGAAGACCACAAATTTGATGGTAATATGCAATGGAACCAGTTACTGGATTTGACCTATTGACTTCAGCCATTAATTTATTGAATACATACAATTTCAAGAGAGTTCAGCAATTATTCAATTAATTTATTGTTTAGTAGTAAGGGAAAAAGTATGTGCTTTCACTCCCACGAGGTGAGCGTTCCATATTTTTATTTTTTGTCTTTTTGTTTTTTTAACTAGAAATGATATAATTTGTATCATTTAAAATGACGCATATTTTTTTAAGATTAAATCAAGGATTTAACTTACTTTGCTATCAAGCTTTTTATTTCAATTTTTTTTGTCAAAAAATATATATATTTTGACGGAGGAGGGATATTCTTACTATAAAATTTTTTTTACTACTAACTCATTATCTATCTAATCACCGTTGAATCAGCATTTTCTCTCTCTTTATAAACATTTCAGCATTCTCTCTCTTTTGATCCAATGGTGTTTAGATTGATAGTGGGTTGGTAGTGAATTTTTTTAGGTAGTAAGAACATCTCTTCTTATTTTAATATTAGAATAAGATGTGGGATATTCTTACTACCAAATATTCCTACTACCTATATAATATAACTATGTATTATTGGTAGTACATCAAAAGTTGTTTTTCTTTTCTCTTTCTTTATAAACTTTTAGATTATCGAACTAGTAAAACTTCTTATCAGTCCAATAAATATTGGGCTGAGTTTGATCACACACAGTTAAACATGAAGGATTTTGATGAAGAGAAAGAGAGATAACAAGTTAGCTTGTCGAGATGTTGGGATGCTTGGCGAGATGGTTGATCAGCACTTTGCTTATCTGGGCAGTTTGTGAGCGACTGGGTACCTATAAGACACTCTGATGATCAAGTCAGTTCAGTATTCAAAAAGGTTCAAATATTCAAAATATCATGAGCTAAATGCTTCTGTATTTATAGTATTGAGCACCTTGTTTCATATCACCTTTCATAAGACGGTGTTCACTTTCATTCTCGATAATAATGATTCCTTTCAGGTAAAGTTACATTGGCTTGCTAGTCAAGTAAGCGAGATCCTACACCTTCTACGTGAAATGAGTTACCTTTGCAATGAAGTCACAGGGAATCTTTGGGTCATTTGCACCTTTATGAGATTAGGCCTCTATTTCGCATGTAATGAGTCCATATCAACTCCTTTAATCTATACAATACAAGGGTGTGAAAATATGTTAAACTTAATACTTCAGATCGAATAATTTGAACAAAATATAAGAGATAAGTTAACAAAATATATGAGATAAGCCTTCAAAGTTAAAGAAAAAAATATTTTAGTTTTATTAATTTGAGTCCGATTTGGTCTATTAAAAGTATTATATTTCCCTTTTGAACTTTATCTAAATGTTGTTTTAAAATTAGCATTCATATATCTTAAATAATAATTAATTTTAAATATTTTAATACAAGTTAATCAAAAAAAAAATATTGGTAATTAACATTTTAAACTATATTTATATAAATAAATAAATAAATAAAATGTGAGCCAATAAGCTAGCTCAAATAACCTGCAATCTGCAGGGCCCCATTGACTTGACCCGCACTGGGCTGGATCAATCCAAGTTAACACCCTTCTTAATGATTCGATACTAAATTGAAGTTTAACTAGGTTCAAACGGAACAACCTTAGGAGTAATCAGATCACGGTTTAATCAATGCAACCAGCGGATCCGGTTTTGTTTTTAAAATATTGTTCTTTCTGCTCAAATTTGTGTTGCCATTTGCTGCTAACTACCTTTGTATATATTCATGTAGTAAGATTAAAGCTTCATTTGGTGAACATGATAGGATAAATTGGTTGGATAATGGTAGAATAGAATATGAGTATAATAGGCTCATATTTTATCCCGTGTTTGATGTGAACTAGATAAAAATAATAGTATTCTATTATGTGTTTAGTGTGAATCAGATTGCGTCAAGATATGCTTTAAATAGACAATAATGCCCATAATGATAGAAAATATCATTGTTCTCTCTATCGATCCTTGAAACTGTTGGATTATTTCTCCAAATTCCAATGCATGGAAGAATGACAAGCTTCATGGGAAAATGAAAGGATTTCATGGGATAACGAAGAGTTATATTGAAATCCTCCCCATTAAATGAAGAAGAATCTAGTGCATTGAAGATATCCCTCCTAGCCATCTATAAATAGAAGAAGAGATGAGATCAACAAAATGATGTTAAGAAATCTTCCATGAGAGAAAGAACCTGACTGAATACCCGCGGTATTCTCCCATATTCTCGAGAAACTGAATTTTTTTAAATTTTTAATTTTCGGATATTATCGTAAACTGAATGTAAAAATCATATTTCTGAAAAAATTTCCTCTACCAAACGCCCCTTGGGAGAAGTTTGAGTGAGACATCTCTAGGGAAGTTTGAATTCCACCATTGTAGGTGATGTTTGATTATTTGAGAGTACCTCTAAAGAGATGTTTCAGAGTTAGACCTCTTTAGGGACGTTTAATATTACCACCATACTTGTGAAACTTGATTGTATCTCTAGTGAGAGACTAGAGAAGTTTGACTGTTGTAACATTATTCTTATAGTGGAAGTTTGATTCTGGACTAGTGTCCCGCGAATTTTTACTTTTTTATATTGGAGAAGGTTTTCCCACGTTAAACAAATTGTCTATGTTCTTCTTTATCTCTCTCCTCTTGTATTTTGCTATTTCGCTTCAACAATCGACTGGAAGGTCCACCTTGGACCCAACAGAAACATATGAACACATCTCTCATCTGATGAACATTCACCAGATCCAACACCTACCTACCACAACTCTTGATTTCCCTTCCCTCTCTGAAAAGGGGAATGCAATTCATAGTTCTTGTTTTTTTTTTTTTTTTTTTTTTTTTGAAACAGAAGAAAATAGTAAGACAAACAGATACAAATTGTACTAATTGTAGCGCGTACATGGGTGTCCAACCCATTATGTCTTTCTGAATTAAAGGCCAGCAATTAGGGGGAGGTTCCTCCCATATCCTTTGCACCCAAGAACAATCCCTAATAATATGAATGCTGGTTTCTAGTTCTTCTTGGCAGAGGGCAGTTCTTGTTTAAATAAAGCATGTAACGGCAATTAGGCCGTTCTCCTCTGCCACTCTTTTCCATTTTTCAACACATCCGATACGTTCAGTCTTCTAGCTGAGTGACAAAGATAGTTCCGCCTAATATTAGCGTATAATTCTTTCTTCTTTTTTTTGGTTCTTGCAATGATACAAAAAATCAAACACAGCTTTTAAGCCGACGCATCAGCACCAATCGCTCAATTGTATATGCTATGCTCATGAACTATTGAGGTCCTTTTTACAAGAAAAAGCCAAATTTAATTTTAGCGTAGAATTATATATTTCATTAATTACGTGGCTATTTACCAAATTAGAACTACATCTTCATCAATACCAACCTAAGATTTTTATCGCTTATCAAGGGTATATAGCTCAACCTAAGCCATGCCACACTTATATTTAGTAAAATAAAACAGGTTTTTCAAACTTATATTTAATAAAATAAAACAGGTTTTTCAAACATTAGTTCCAATAGGAGGTATGAAACCAACTAAAAAACCACCCGAAAAATTGCAGTAAGGATGCAAATATGTCGCGACTGCAATAAGATTACGAGCAGAATACCAATAAACTAACAGAAAAACAAGAGGAAATCAATAATCCATCAAGAGAAAATTGGTACAAACAAAACTGTATCATAATGGAGATGTCGACAAAGTTAGGAGTTAACTGAAGCAAAATAAGAACAAAATTAACATGGGAATAGCACTAATAAATTTCACACTTTACTCTAATCACGCAAACCTAAAAGTACTCCAAAAAGCTCATTATCTCTTTTCTTGAAACTCAGGCCTTCGAAGCTTGCTTTTCCTTTGCCTTCTGGATCTTCAAGACCTTTTTCACAATCTTTTGCTCTTCAACCAAAAAAGCTCGAATAATTCTACAGAACCAGAGACATAATTAAACAAGGTACTCTAACAATTTACATAATGAAAATCAAACAACCTATGGACCAAGAAGTTGAGCAGAACAAACCTTTCTCTAACAGCACCTCCAGACAAAACTCCACCATATGCACGGTTCACAGTCCTCCTGTTTCTAGGCAACCTTGATCTCTTGTATTCTGCTGGCCTTAAATGTGGAATCTGCAATTTTCAAGCATTAATAACTATTGTATCCTAATAACTTGAATCATTGATACAAAATTTGACAACCAGCATAAAAATATGGCCCAAGTAATGCAAAAGCTACAACTAGTTCAAAAACATCCCACACAGCTTAAGCATATTTAAATAGAACAATCCCGGATGAAAATTATTACGGCGGGGCAATCAAAGGCACACCTACGGCAACAAGGCAAGGCTCTAGGAGATAAAATAGTCTCTGAAAGACCACCATCTAACTTGCTAACTGTGAAGCTAAAGGGGGTAAATAGTCAGAACATTTGTTAGACTCTGGGTTATGGCTTTGTCAATCGAACATCAAAATCTTTTCTTTTCTTTTTCGGTAAATGAACATCAAAACCTTTAATACTGACTATGAATGAAATGCTTGAGTAGTTAATTTATACTGGAAACCAATGCAAAATAATACTGTTTTGTTTTTCTCATATTAACACCTTTCTTTAGTAAGGCATGTGCTTTTTTGGTGCTTCCCCCTCAAGGCATTAAAACACCCTATCATCCTAAGGGCACCTTTCACCTTTAACTACCTCTATACAAAAATATCAGCATAACTGCATTAGAAATTCACTCTATGTTGACGAGTCATGCTGAGATGGCCTACCAACCAAAAATTAAATCTACCCACTAACAACATAAAAAAAATTCTAAAAACCAATTACGAAAAATAATAAGCGCAAGCATGCAAACAAGCTTTCATAAGAATATATACTTTTCGTATACTCTCACTAATTCACTCAAGTGAATCATGTGTTGTTGATTTTTAGCTAAACAGAAGCCAAGACATACGTGAAGTAGCATTGAAGGGGGCAAACAAAACCGATCAAACTCAAAGAAGTGTGTGGCACAAATCAACTTTTAATCTCAAATTTTGAATAAGGTAGTGCACACAAACTTTATCTCTACCAGTTCCACATAGAACAGTTTTACAGGACATTTTACCCTGAAGCATCTAAATTCTAAACCATTATGAACAATTGCAATTCCATTTTGTCCATAGTCCACCAGTCACATACAGAACTTGTTTTCTTCTTCTTTTGGACACAAAATCAGTACTACAGTTTATTAAGCAACTAATTGGTAAAGCAAATAAAGTATATTCAAGAAGATCCTAATAAACTAGGAAGATCACATATTATGGTGAATCCTAATAATAATAATAATGATAATAAAAAGAGAAATCAAAATGAGAAGAAAATGCATACCCCCTGAATCCTCTTTCCAGTAACAGGGCACTTGGGTCCACTGGCCCTCTTCTTAGTGGTCTGATAAACGAGCTTGCCACCTGCATTATCCAACACGAATCAAAAAATAAAAAACATAGCTTTACAATCTATGCGTAAAACGACGCGTCGGAATCATTAATAAACGACGATATGAAGCAAGTTTACCAGGGGTTTTAACAACCCTGTGCTGGTTGGATTTGGTGGCATAGCTGTGACGCTTGCGATACGTAAGACGCTGCACCATCTTCGTCGATCAGCTTCTGCTTCTTCCAAATCCTAGGGTTTTCCACCACCAGCAAAGAAGAAAGTCTGTTGTATGCGCTGAGGTATTAAAAAGAGGGTTTGGGCTTGCCCTAAATCTAAGGGTGGTAAGAACATCATCGCGATATCATTAATTATAATTGGACGGCCATGAATCTGACACGTGTTCATATTTTGAAACTTGTGTTATATAACTTTTTCTCTTAAGGAGATTGTTTAAATTTATATTTTTTTTTGTAAATAATAAGTTGCTACTTAAATTATGATTTTTTTTAGAGGAGATTATATTTACTAATTTTTTTTACTATTTCTTATTATCAAATTTTAATCGTTGATTTTTGTCAATCTAACGATTATAATATATTGAGTCTCACTTATTAATTTCAAATAAATTATAATCGTTAAATTGACAAAAATCAATAGTTGAAATTTAGTAATAAGAAATAATAATAAAAAAAGCGTAAATACCATTTTTGGTTCTCAGCAAATCTCACGATGCCCACTTTCCCTAGCAAATATAAAGGCCCATTGTGATCTCTAAAAAATTCAAAATGGACCCATTTAGTTGAAATCGTAGTCCCTCACAAATTCAAAAAAGACCCCATATTAATCCCTAAGGCCGTAAGCTCATTTTCACAAGGCTTGGCCTATAAGCCTACAGGCCGGCCTATATTGTACTATTTATTTTAAATAAAATAAAATAGAATAAGTATGACTTGAAAAAAAACAAAACATATTAATTTAAATAATTGTAATTATTTATAACTTAATTATATTTGATTATATTTTAATAGAGATATGACTTTATTTCTTATGTAGGAGGAACCAACATCTCAGCATGTTATATTGTGTATATGAATATTTTAAAAGATTTTTGGGAGATGTTATACTTACTACAAGCATTATGATGTGTTTGTTAAATTCATGTAGTTATTTTAATTTGTTTGTAGGATCTGATGAAACATATGTTATTTAGTTTGAGTATTTTGCTTTTGAAATTGACTTAAATGCAAATTGTAGGAGTTTTGTTGTGATTCATGATTCTGTTTGGATGTTGAAATGATAATTTTTAGTTTAACATTAGAATTTGAGTATTTTGTAAAGTTGATTCATGGTTCTGCTTGGAAGTTAGAAATTAGCAGCCTAACAAGCTAGGCCAGACCATTTGTTTTTTTATAAACGGGTCAAGTCAGGCTAACAGTTAAACTCATACTAAGCTTGAGCCAGGCCAATTGAAATTTTTTGACGTAGGCTTGGGCTTTTCAGGGCAAAATTTGACCCAGCCCAGCCCACTTTCACCCCTATTTGCAACTGTTCCTTGATGTTAACCAAAATGGGAGAGACCGTCTCAATTGACCCTAGCCCGTGTGAGTTAGGGGCAAAAAGCCCGCAGGGCCAAACGAACCTCAATAATTAAGGCTTGCACAGGCCAAATATCTTATTGGTTAGGGTCAACCCACGGGCCATCCAAAATTAAAATTTCATAATTTTTTTATCATATTTAATACATTAAAAAATGTTTTAACAAATAAATTTTTCACATTTTCTTAACATATTTTATACAAATTATACTTTTTTAATAATTTAAATTTTTTAATAAAATAATATTTGTACACAAATATACAAGTGAAAATGTAAACAATATTTTATTATAAGTGAAAATTTAGTTACTACTTTTACTAAATTCATTATTAAATGATACCATCTAATAAAGATTTTCTCACCGGAAGTCATAACAGAATACAACAATTATAGTGAAAAACTAAAAGGAATGATAAAAAATTATCTTAATACCAGTATTGAATAACTGCTCTTAGTATGCTATATATTTGAAAGTAAAATCATCGATTTTCTTTAACTACTACTGTTACAAAAAACTTTTTAATTATTATTAACCACAAAATTACTAAAGTGCATTGTATGCAATATGTTTCAATACAAATTTGAATGTATAACATGCTTATGTCAATAGAAAATTTTATTTTTATTGATGCACAGATGAAAATATCTGTTAAAATATATCACTACTGAAAAATTCATTTTTGTTGTAAAATATTATGGATGAACTTTCACATGGTTCATAACACGTGTCTCATTGTCTTTCTCGACCTTTGATATATTCTATAATCATCACACTAATGGTGTGTTCAATTGTAGAATACATCCAGGAGGTGTTGTAAAATATTATGGATGATCTTTCACATGGATTATGGATGACATTTCACATGGATTATGAATGACCTTTCACATGGTTCATAACATGTGACTCTTTGTTTTTTCACGACTTCCATGTTTAAAAATGCATCTAAGATATGTCCTTATATAAGACTCTTTACTCATACTTATTCTTATTTTATTCTTTCTTTTATTTTTTTTCTACACTTCATTTTTTTCTTTTATATTTCACTTTTTCTTATATTTTTCATCAAATTTACAACAATTTTTATTTATATTTAAAAATATTTAAATTTATATAATTTTTAGTTTTTAAAATTATTAAATTTTTGTTTATAAAAAAAATAATGAAATTTTTGATGAAAGAAAAATTTTTGCCAGTGGGCCAGCCCTAACCCAACCCGCTAAATTATAGAGCTTTGAGAGTTATGACTAAAAAAAACCTACCACAAAAAGACCCTAATGGATTAAGGTCAAATATAATGTTTTGCAAGTTAGCCCACGAGCTTTAACTCATTTCCTTTTAGCTTTAACAATTGTTTTACCACTTTGATGTTACAAATATGATTAATGTGTGACATTAATCATATTTGTTTATTAGTTAAAATTTTCAAATATATGTATAAAAAAATTAAATATATTCTATGAAAAAAATGTAGTATAATAGTTTTCCTTTTTTAAAAAAAGAAAAAAGACTAACATGGTAAATTTATATTATAAATATTTATTTTAATTTAACTAACCTCTCATTTCCATCTCTTGTGAATTTGGACCTTTCGAACAGATGTAAGGGTTAGTTTTCATTTTCCTTATATTCCTTGCTCTTCCTTCTCGAATATGTCCTTCTTTTTCCTTCTAAACTCAAACATTGGTAAAGGAGAAAAAAAAATTATCCAAAAATCATGATTACTAAGAATATAGTGAGAAAATGAGTTTTATGAGAATGTTATCAAAAAGTTATTGGTAGATAACAAATATTACACGGAATAAGATAAATTTTCTGAGTCTATATTTGATTGATGGTAAAATATTACTGGAAATATGGAGTGAATCTAGAGGAGTAACCTCATTACCATCTTCGTACTCGCAGTCTGCCTACTCCATCAGCATCTATTTCTGTTTCTAATTCTCTCCTAAGATGGACCAACACATCGTCAATCCTCCACGTTCTTCTTCTTCACTATGAATCCAACCCCGGTCCTTATTTCAATTCTCACACATCAAAGCAATCATTATACCCACCAATAAAAACACAGATGTTTCCAACTTTAACCTTTGATTCTGAGCTGAGCTCGTGTAATTGATTAGCCATAACCAAAAAAATAAAAATAAAAATTGAACTTTATTTTATGTACCTCTTGATTCAAAGTTGTTTATAGTTTTGTGTGCAAAGTTTTAGTCTTCGTTGAAGTGTTGCGTGTATATAAAAAAAAATGAATGGCCCGATCATGTCTCAACGGCCAATCTTCGGCTTCGTTAGTAAGATACGAATTTTTGGAAAATCTGCTTGTGGTTTTTTTTTTCGGTCACTGGGTTTAGTGAATTTTTTCTTTTGTTTTGATGTATCTAATGGTAAGCGATAGTTACTCGAAGAAGATGTTAGATGTGGCGATTCAATCAATGTTGAAGAAGCCTGATTACAACGGGGTTTTGAGGCGGCAGCTAGGGGGGGTAAATAAATTAAATCGGCGTACGACCTAGTCTATATCAGATCAAACTCAACTTATTAAATATAGTCAAATAGAGCAGGCCTAGACTTTTAAAAAAGCCTATAAGCCTACAAATCAGCCTATTTCATATTATTTATTTTTTAAAAAATAAATAAAATTATTATTTTAATAATTTTGAATAATAAAGTAATATTATTTTAATTATTTTTTTTAATATTGAATGTTTAATAGGTTTAAAAAGACTAACAGGCCTAGGTCAAGGCTTGTATTTTTTAAATATAGGTCAGACCAAACTTATAATTTAAGCTTATACAACGTTAACAGGCCAGGTTAGACCTAAAATATTTTAGACAGGCCTAGGCTATTTTAGCCAAAGTCTAGCCTAACTTAGTCTATTTACACCCCTAGCGACAGCAAAAGGCGACTGAGAGGGAGAGATAACTTATAGGGAGACAACCAAAGGGTAAAAAAGTTCCAAAAAATATGTTAAAATTTTCCAACAAACCGGATTCTGGAAATACCACTTATTTTGTGGTATTTGTTGATGGTATTTTGACCTTTAATTTGTACTACAATCCAAATGCTGGGCAATTTGGAATAATGGGAAAAAATTTGCTTTTCCTCTACCAAACATAAGTATATTAGAATCCCAAGTAAGCTTTTCTAGGATTCTAAAAAAAAAACACCTACCAAACAGCCCCTAAGGGGAGAGTTATTTTAATATAATGACTCCAACTGGTAAATCTTAAGTAGAGATTTAATTTAAGAATTTAAATGTCATAATTAGATTCAGAACGTGATTTCAAGTATTTTGACTGTAATCATAATTAGGTCATGAATAGTGTCTTCTGTCAGGAAGCTACCGGTAGAACTTAGAAATGAGAAAATGATATGAAAAAGGGAAAAGTGTCTATACTTTTAAATTACACAACTTACATCCTTTCACTCTCACAAAGAGGTGGGACCCACAACTTTATTTTTTTTGTCAACTCTCTCTCCTCCTTTATCTATCTCTTTCTCTCTCTTAAAATGACACAACTTTACATCCTTCAAAATTATACACACTTTTCCCTATGAAAAATATGTGAAAGCTCAATATATGTCAAACAAGTCATGTGTAAACTAAACATAATATTTTTTAGAAATTTTATGAATTTTGTGCAATTAAGGTACTATTAGTGATTTCCAGTGTACCCAAACTCTACTGTAAGTTGCCAATATTATTCTTTAGGGCAAATAAATATATGTTAATTAAACCAGCTCGAGACGGGGATGTTACATATTTCAAATTTAATATTATATGTTATATATAGAAAACAATCATATAGGGTAACCCATATGTTGTAATGGCCAATTTTACACCCACCACTACTACTAGAATGGAAACAGAATTTGATACCAAAAATTTGCATTAGCATTCCATTAATTAGTCAACTTTGATGTATTAGCAATAAGCCTATATACACTGAAACTTTGTAAGTAGATAAGCTATGTTTGCTGCTATGTACTTTTCTGCTGAAAATAAGTAGCTCTACATCTAAGAAAATATGCCATGGCAGAGCCAGATGAATCAATCAACAAGGAAAAAGCAAAAAAAAAGGCTCCACCTGGATCTTCCTGCCAACAAATTCGATTCGGTTTAACTTTTCATTACACCATATTAGCTGATCTTTTCTCAATTTTTTCATGTTTACCACCCTTGAAATCAATCTCAATCCCACTTGAGCAAGCAACTGCTCAATATCCAGTTGAATTTGATCATCATGATGCTTTTGGAACTTCCTTACTATGCAATTCCCGCTTCTCACTAAGTCCTTAAGCTTTCTCTCTTTCTGCAATATTCAACCCAAGATTGTAAGTATCAGACAGTGTCAACAAAAAAAATAAAAAGATGTGTCATGTCTCTATAGAAAGTAACCTTCTGAAGTTCGGTTCTAATATCTCCAAGAAGATCTGAAATTGCAGGGTCCTTGACATCAATTCCAGTTTGATGAGAAACTTTAAGGATAGCATTCCCATAATCTTTATCTGCTTTGACAAATTCCCAGAACACCTGCATGGATTCCTTGATGATCTGTTCTAACCTTTCACTAGTAATTGCATCCTCATCACCCCACTTAACTATTTTCTTATCCTTCTTATTATTATCATCTGCATAGCAATCAGAATAATATTATAGCATCTTTCTATGAGGTTACATTGTGTACAATAACTGAATTATGGTCAATTTTTTATCACCTTTAATAGCTGGAACTTGGAGCAATTTGCGAATGACACAACGGTTCTTGACATAATTCTGAATCCTAGGACCTTGAAATGGTTCATCCTCTATAAACCGTTGCATGAGGACTTGAAAAAGTTGAAACTCATCAGCAACTAGATTATACCTACGAGGCCATTGTGAATCATATTGTTTTAACTCGTGGACTTTCTTGTGCTGCCAACACAGGATTTCCCATGAGAGGCAAACCTGCCCAACATACACCAATTCCAAATCTCTATGCAGTTCATGAACAAACTTCAGCATAGGGTCATTTTTGTGCTTTTGTGCTTTGCGTGGCCACAAATTCTGAGAGATTGAAGGCTTGGCATGTTGGACGGTAGATTTTGGTATCAGCATTAATTTAAGAGGGTCTTTTAGTTGGAGAAGACCTACACACACGGGAAAAAAAGGTGATTTAGTCAATGACAAAGGGAAAACAAGATTATTGTTAAAGGAATAAGTGTTTCTTTTTTTTTTTTTTTGCTTGGATTATAATATTTGTAAGCAAACTTAGTCAAAGCTGAAAAGTAATATATGAAGGTTCGAACATCTTTATTAAATACTTTTATACTATAGAACATGGGCGAGGGCGAACCAATCCCACTCACTGATATTTTAACGTCGCAAAGTTATAAGGTAGACTTATGATGAAAAAAGTGAAGAAGATTGGTAGAGAATGGAATTGAAAATTTAGGGTGTAGACTTGCCAATATCTATGGCGCTGTGATTGGAAGAATAAACGAATATACTAATAGCTTTAACTTTATGCCACACTCTAAAGAACTAATTCAACTCAAAAACTTAAGTTGACTATTGGATGAGGGTTTTTTTAATAGTTTTTATTATTCTCTAATACACTCGCTCACACGAGAGCCCATTGGGTTTGAAGGGTGAATAATGTACAGGCAGACTCACCTAAAAAACAAATTCAACCCAAAAACTTAGGCTGTTGGGGGAAGGCCTTTTTAATGGTTTTTATTATTTTCTAACACACACATAATTAGTAAAAAATGATAGGCAGTAAATAGATAATGTCCCATCATGTAAAGATAATCATCCAAGAGTCGTTAGAAAAAAAAAAAAAATATATATATATATATATATATATATTTTCCAAGTTTACGTGAAGAAAATTCAGCAAAAAAGAAAAGAAAGAAAAGATTATATGCAACAAAAAAATGATGGAATTTACATTTAAAAACTTCATTATGCTATTTTGAAGTGTCAAACTAGTACATCACTATATCTGATTAATCATAACCAATTAGTAAGGGAGGAGTTCACGTTTTAAGCTCTAAATAATAAGCTCAAAAAATGACCACAACATTGAAATTGTCCTAATCCAAGATGAAATCAATACAAGTATTTTACATAGAAATGAAGTTAAAATTGATTTGGTTCTCACCTATTGCATGCATGGTCTGGTAATTCAAGATATCTAGTTTCCGTATCTTCTCAGCATAGCTCCTGTAAACCTTTTGAATTTCAACAATGTGATCCTTGTATTCGATCTTCTCTTCAATTCTCAGTGGCTTTAGATCTTCAACAACTTTTGGAGGCTCCGTTTCCTCATCTCCTTCCTCTTCTAAAATTGTAGCAAGTCCTCCTTGTCTTGCATTTCTCAGTTCCAATTTCAGTTGTTCCACCACCTCATCATTCTCCCAATCAAAGTCATCATCATCCTCATCATCTTCATAAGAATCCTCATCATCTTCCCACATGATTTCTTCAGTTTTCTCCAAGCAATCCTTATGTGCCTCTTCTCCATGTGAGACTTTTACATCACATGAAAATTGAGTTTCTTCCACATCTTCAACTCTTTCATCTTTAATTACCTTAAGACTTTCAGACTCAAATCCTTTACAAGAATTGTTAGATTGCAGATTCTGACATGTTAATGAATCATCAATGTTGTTGCTGCTACCCCATATAAGATCACTGGAACTTGATGATTCTGATTCTGACTCTGAATCAGATTGCAATAAGTTATCACTGTATAGAAGATAATCATCATCAGATGAATCACTTGCACCAAAAGCATTACTTACAAAACCAGAAGTGGAATTGGAAGCGAACGTTCTCTGTTCTTGAACAGATTCATCTTTTTCTTCCTGAGCAACAAGGCCTTCTTCTAAAATATGCTGTGAAAATTCCTTTGTGGCAATATTTTCAGTGCTGGAAAATGTATTATCAGAAACATTTGCACCTGTGTAAATTTCTCGGAACGTGAAGGTCATGGTTGTTGGTTCTTCGGCTTCATCTTTTTCTTCTTGAACTTCTTCTACTCTCTTGGTACCATATTGATGATCATTGGAATCACCCTCCATGAAAACAGAGCTCTCTGTTTCTTTTTCATCTATTTTCTTCACATTTTTATAAACATCTGAGACAGTCTCAATGAAAATATCAGGGTCCTTTTCATTTAAAACAGAGCTCTCTGTTTCTCCTTCTCTTTCTTCACTTGCTACATGAGAATCTTCAGAGCTCGGAAATATCAAATTAGCCAACTCTTCTGTAAACCCTTTAATCTCAGAATCTTCAAAATGATTCCTCTTGGCTTGATCAGCTACAGCTACTGGAACAAGGTGCTCGTTTTTTTTGTCTTCTACATGAAATCTGAAACATCAAATAAAGGAATCATCATTCATTTTCTATGCATTTACCAAAAAAACGAAAAAGATAATCTAAATACCAATAACCCATATGAGAAAAATCACCAAACCTGAAGATGTATCTGAGCATCAACCACAAGGAGTAAAGCACGTAGTTTGTGAAGAAAACCCGCAGAGAAGCCAAGACCCAAAGCATGTTTTCATAAACAAAATCATTAGCAAAACACAAATTGATTGAACCAATGTGTGTTTTAAGCATAACAAGGTTCTTAGTACCCATCAATGATCAACCAACTTACTACACCTCTGAAAGTTTTTGTCAAGTTATGAGGAGAAGGAGACTTGGGAGCCTGAAAATTTTCCCATCAAAGATTCACTATGAGATAGTGAACTCTCCCCGCTAGAGCACAGAGAATCAGTGGCAGAATAAGTTCTTTGCATAGTTTGATTTTGGACCCAAAAAAAATGCGAGATTGCGCATTTATTTGGTACAAGAAAGCAACGTGAGGGTTTTGGACAATAAATGGGAATTTGATTTGGTCAATTTGGTGTCTTGAGTACGAACGGTTATTAGCTTTTGTAACAGTTTTGTGGTACGTTGTACACTGTTGTCTTGACACGTTTCAGACGCTGGGACTTGCGAGAGTGAAGTATGGTTAAAGTGGCCTTCGTTTGGCTTTAAGGCAATTTGTGTGCCTTAATTGCTTTTTGTTTTCTTAATTTGGACTCAGTCATTGGTCTTTAGATTCAGTTGGTCAATGTTTTGGATTTTTGGCAAATCTGAAAGTTTCTTATTTTTGGGTTTGGTCGAGTGGTAAGGAGAAGCAGTACGAGAGAGTACTTATTTCTAAAACCATGACCAAAATATGCTCCATTGCCATGGATTAATGGTCAAAAACCAACCCCACTTTCGAGGAGAAAAGCAGTAAGAAGAAAAATTTACTTATTAGTGGCATGGAATGGAATTTGGAAGTTTCCGTTTGATTGTGTTGTATTTTTTTTGTTCTTAAAAATAATTTTGTAAAATAGTTAATGAATAGATGTTTTTTGTATTTTGTTTTGAAAGTTAAAATTCAAAACATAAAACAAAAACAAATGTATGTTTTCTAAATTTGATTCTAAAAACTAAAAAACATTTATAATTTTTAAAACTATTTTTACAAAACAGATCAAACAGATTTTTTTTATTCTGAAAATCACAAAATTATTTTTGAAAATAGAATTTAGACATGCCTTCTTCTTTAATATTCTGTCTTCAAAAATGTATTTTTATTATCACCCACGTTAACTACTCCTTAAGGATCCTCTCTTCTCCCTTTTGGTGCTAATAATACCCTACAACCTTTTGCTTACTCTTTTTGTTTTTGGCAAAATGAGGACAATTACTCATCAGATTTACTCAAGAGAGATCATAGAGCAAGAATTTATATAGGAGAAAATACTCCTTGTTTGAAGTTTACTTACTTGGCTCCATCGGTTCTCTATAGCTATTGCTTGCTATTGTTAGCTGTAAGAGAAAATCTATGGAGGTTTCAGGTTTCAAAGCAGAAGCTCAAGTGCTACCTGTTGACATTTGAATCACTATAACTCATCCTGCCAAGCTAAGATTGCTGTTGTCATCATAGGTACCAAACACAAAAGAATAGACAAGAGCAAATTAGGCCTTACATATGCAGAGGAATAGTAATTAGTTGCCCATATCCATGCCAGATATATGTTAACGTGTTATTTTGAGATCAAAATAAACACGACAAGAATTATTAATATTATGCTCCTGATCTCAGTGACAAACCAAAACCTATAAAGATTAAATAATTGGAGTCTAGCAGCTTTTCTGGAAATAGAAAAGGTTAGCTTGAAATTTCCTTAACAAAGACGGATATATTTTATTTTTGTGAACCAAGTTATCAAATCTTAGAAGAATAAGACATGTTTTTAGGGTGCCAAGACTTAGAAGAACAGGACATATTTATGGGGTTTTTTTTTGGACATATAATTAAACGGAATAATAATTCTCCTGCCGCGGAAGATTACCTTTCCATCCCGCAGAGCCTTCGAAAATTGTGATTTCAATTTATTTTGTTTTTGTTTTATTTTATAAATTGTGGACCCACCCCCTTGTATCTATGATAGCAGAAAAAAAAAATTTGCTATGACAGGAGAACCGAGAATCCCTTAATTAAAATAATTTACTTATCTCCGAAGGGGATATTAGTTCATCATTGTTAATATGGGCAATTATATGTTTATTTTGTTGCAAGTGCGATGTAACAGTACACTTAAGTACACCACCAATTCACAGAAATTGTTTTAGTCTTAAATTCGAGTCCTAAATATATAATTGTTAAAATTTTAATAGAAAGAATTTTATTGCTGTTATAATTCTATCTTGCTCTAATCGAGAAGAGAATTTTCAGTGCTTCAGGAGCACATGCTCCTTTCAATATAAATGTGATATTTGGATTAATATTTTTTTCTCTCCTCTATACACATATCACATTTTTTGTCCGTTTTTTATTAGCCCGTCTGACTGAGTGAATGGTGATCCAGCTAAAGCACCGTAATAATTTCGCTAACCTAATTTGTCAATTGAGAAATAAAAAAAAAACAATATCTTGCTCATATATTTTAATATACACTCTATAATCTATATGTTGATGTGAATGGGGAGATGCCCAACTGCTTGTAAATTGTTTTATTAGGCTTCATTGGCAATTTATGGCACAAATCATATTCAGTGAAGGCCGGCTTTTCTCAAGTTTGGACGGTTTTTTGGGAGGTGGTGTACGTCATTTTCATACCATCAAAATACATATTTATGGTCTTAGCAATCATCAATATATCAAAAACATTACTTTGTGGCAATGCTAAGCAAGCCTATTATGGCGGAGATAGATGAATGGAAAATAATTATATAATTGATTGACCGAAAGTGTCACGTTATTGTAAGCGGTTTTGAAGCCATGACCAATGTTTATCAAAATTATCACAAAGTCTGTACAATTACATATTGCATCCTGTAATACCTTGTGTTGCCACTTTGTGTCCTTTTAGATTTTAAACATGCTTTAATTGTAATACGTTAAATATTGTTAAATTTCTTTAATCCAGCTATTGAATTGAAACTTCAAAATTCTCATCGTTGTGGCCAAGCTAGTAAATTCTCAGAATATAAAAACTAATTGGCATTTTTATTGTATCACTTTATTTTAATTTAAACATTTTAAAATTAATTAAATTTTAGTTACTAATTAGATTAGGGGATAAATTTTTTCATATTAAAATGTTGTGTTTATAAGTGAAATTTTTTTGTTTATCTAATCTTGGATTAATCAATTTGAATTTATAATATCTTTGTTTAGCCATATCAAAATGATTTAAAAAATATCATTTTTTTACCAATAAAATCATTATTTAGTATGGTTATTGTCGATTTGTCATCATTATTTTTAGTTCGTTATTAGTGGCAATTAAGATGTTTGGACAAACAAGTCAAGTAATTGACGCTAGGAGTCACGTCTCATACTCTCATCCCCAACCCCAAAGGGCACGACACCATAGGCCATCGATGGTGAGACTTCATCATCTCATGATGCAATTTGATTATCGTGATCCAAATTTGGGCAATAACCAAGCAAAACAAGGGCCAATGTGGTCTCAACTCTTAACGTGTTTAAAGGGATAATACACATGAAGTCAATGAAATAAATTTAGTTACAATTCCAAATAACGGTTCGGTTGAAATGACAATTATAAAATGAAAAAAAGAAGAAGGTGCAATTAGATTATTACTTTTCATATGTCTTCTAGAGCACTAGATTGGAAAGAAAAATATTGTTCAACTTTAGAGGAATGGTATAGGCGTATGTATAGGGGTGTAAGCATCCATTGACATATAAATTGGCGCATAGCGAGTGACGTGGTCTTTCAAGTGCGCGTGAAGAAAGTTAAATGAGAGTATAAGACCCGTTCCTGCAAAGATGTACTTCATTTCAAAAAGTGACATTGAAGACCTAAAGAAATAACAATAAAAAAAAATAAGACCAATGCTTTCGGTTCAAAACTGGCACGGAAATACAGGTTAATATATAATCAAAATTTGTGTTGAACTGAACCAAGTAAATTCTAGCTAGGCAACTAGGCTGGGTTAATTTGAAATGAATTTATATATATGGAAAAATATTATCTTATGTTGTAGGAGAGTATTTTTTTTCTTACACATACATCGACTTTCGTGTTATTTTTTTTTTCTTTTCTTTTTTTAAGTGAGTGGGTCTAGGGCTGGCAATATGGGCCAGCCCGCCCCGACCCGCCACTAGCCCGCCCAAAATGAGCTGGCCCGCCCCGGCCCGTTTTGACAAAATGGGTTGAATTGAGTAACCCGGCCCATTTTATGAGTGGGCTGGCGGGCTACGGGCCAGCCCGCCTAAAATAAAAAAAATAAAAAAATAAAATACAAAAAATTAAATTCTGCATAAAATCACATAAAAAAATCTGCATAAAAGCATACAAAAATTTGCATAAAATCCTAATGTGCTTATGAAACCAAGAAGATCAGTGTTTAATAATCTGCATATAAATATGCATCTTTCAATCCAAAAATAATAATAAAAAAATAAAATCATATCAGGATAAAATAGAGTAACAAAACAAGTAACAAAGTGTTGTATGAGCAGTCCACAACAATTCAAAAAAGTCACTTGCATGCAGAGAAATCTAAGATACAGAGCTACATAACAATTGGGTAAAAAAAAAAAAAAAAAGGACTTGGCGGGCTGACCCATATGGGCTGGCGGGTTTGGCGGGGCGGGTTTGGCGGGCTGGTGGGTTGAAAAACTCAACCCAGCCCGCCCTATTTGGCAGGCAGGGCGGGCCAGCCCGGCGGGCTCAGCCCATTTTGCCGGCCCTAAGTGGGTCCCACTCATAACTATCTCTATAACATAAGAGAGCTTCTCTTATGTCACATGAGATTAATAAAGCCCTATATATATATATATAATATATATATATATATGAGGTAGGATCTTTTGACATTTGTGTTAAATTTAAAATTTAACACCTCATCTGAGAGTCATTAGATCAAAAAAGTCACATACTTACAAATCAGAGTCATTGATCCTTTTTTGATCTAACGGCTCTCAGATAAGGTGTCAAATTTCAAATTTGATACCGATGTCAAATTATCATACCTATATATATATATATATATATATATATATATATATATATATATATATATATATAAATAAATCAGTTATCGCTGGACCAATATTAGTGGCTTGAAATAAAATTTTAAATTTGATTATGACTTACAGATAACTGTGACTGTGAGTATTGTGCTCCACTAATTTATTTTTTATTTTATTTTTGGAATCTAAATCAGTTTACCTGAGAATGAAGAATCAATTGCCAGATCGAGAAAGATAT